TGAGGAGGAGGTTGCGGGGGTGGACAGGATTTGAGCTTGGAGAAGTAGGTGGGGGCCAGATCAGGGGGGCTATGCTATGAAGGAGCCTAGGACTCAAGAACAAAGAGAAGCTGTGACTTCCCTGGTGGTCCAGTGGTTAAGACTCTGCGCTTCCTTCCACTGCAGGGGGTGCGGGTTCCACCCCTGGTCAGGGAACTAAGATTCCACATGCCGAAAAACAAAGAGAAGCTGCGGAATAGGTTTTAAGTGGGAATGCCATCGGAGCCGCGTAAAAGGAAGGCTCTACTAGCTCGGGAGCGGAGACCGGGCACACGTGTTAGCAGGGAGAGCAGGTGGGAGGCCTCTGGGCCCACTTGAGAGGCTATGGGGGCCAGAGCCGGGGCGGCGAAGGGGGGTGTGGAGCCTTCCTGCTCAGTTTTCTGTTTCTCTCCTTTTCTCTGGTTTTCTACCCCCTCCCTGGGTCTTTGTCCCTCTCTCTCCAGTCCCTTTACCTGCCCCCTCCTTTTCTGAGTCTCTGGACTCCCCGCCCCCCACCCCCCGCCTTTCTCCATCTCTTTTTCTCTGAGTCTCTGTCCCCTTTTCTTGAAATCTCTGCCCCCCTTTGGGGGTCTCAGTCTTCCCTCTAAATCTCTCTCTCCCCAGAGTCTCTATTCTCTTCTCTCTGGAGAGCTGTCCTTATCTCTTAGGTTTCTGTCTTATCTTTTTGGGTGTCTGGCCTCCTCTGGGCCTCTCTCAATCTCTTTCTTGGTCTTTGGCGACAATGACTGTATGTGTCTCCACCAGGTAGCAGCCTCCAAATGCCCAAGGTCTTAGAGTTCATTTTCCCTGTTTGCCCCAGAAGGGGAGAAGGGTACCCCCCCGCTTGTGGCTGTCCTGCTACACCCCGTCTCTCGGATCTCCCCTCTCTTAGCTCGGTGTCTGGGCTGAAGCAGACGCTGTTGGCTGAGTCAGGGGCCGTGACCAGCTACAGCCACCGCGTGTTCTCCGCCTGGGACTTTGGCCTCAGCGGGGAGGTCCACGTGCGGCTGCGCCAGCGCAACATCCTATTTGAGTTGCAGGTGCGCTTAGGGGTGGGGGGGCCTACAACCAAATGTCACCCGAGGGGGCGGGGTTGAGAGAATGGGCGGGGCCTAGACCAGGGACCGGGCCTCCAGAGAGATGCTGGGCGGAGCTTTCTTCTAAGGAGGCGGGCCTTGGGGGAAAGGGGCCAAGGCCACTACAGGGATGCCTGAAGTCAAAGGGTACAGGAAAAAGCTAGCAGCAGGAAAGGGGCGGTACCTAAAGCTCCTCGGTTCAAAGTTAAGAGAAGGGTGTGGCCAGAAAGGGCTTGATAAAGTAGCACTGTAACTCCAAAGCACCAGGCATGAGTGCTGGGCGGGTCCTGGGAGGAGCTGGACGTGTTGGGTGGGGCCTTGGGGGCGGAGCCAGATCTCAATTGTCACCTGGAGGGCCCTGGATGGGCTGAGATAAGGATTATAGATGTTCTTGGAGGGGCGGTGCTGCCTCGGTTCACGTTGAGCCTGGGCTCTGGACCACAGGCTGCACCTAGGGTAATGGAACCCAAGTGGACGTCTCTTCCGGCCTTAGGTGGAGCTGGAGGAAGCAGCGGTGCGGCGCCAGGCTGCGGTGCGGACGCTGGGCCAACAAGCCAGGGTGTGGTCGGTGCGGTTGCTGCTCAACATGGCGGTGTTGGCACTCCTGGGGGCAGCCTTCTACGGCGTCTACTGGGCCACAGGGGCCACTGTGGAGCTGCAGGTGTGGAGGGCCCCGGGGGAGGAAAGGGCCTGGAACCTACATTTCCAGGGGTGGAGGAGACTGAGGCCTATTCCTGGAATCTCAGAGAGGAGGGATTGGTGTGTGTGGGGGGATTATGTTTGGACTTCAGGGTGATGAAGGAGGAAGAGGCTGGTGGAGGACGTTAAGCATGGCTCCTGCAGGACCCCAGAGTCTCTTCTCTTGGTCCACCCTCCCTCCTAGGAGATGTCTTTTATCCAGGGAATGCCACTGCTGAAGCTCGTGGTGGATTACCTTCCGTCCATCTTCATCTCCGGGGTCAACTTCGTGCTGCCACCGGTGTTCAAGCTCATTGCTCCACTGGAGGGCTACACCAGGAGCCGCCAGATCGTTTTTATCCTGCTCAGGTTCTGGACTCCTGGGGTGGGCTGGGGATGATGGTGGGCTGGTCGGGGGACATTGGTTGTAGCAAATAAGAGACTGAAATCGTCAGGATATGGGATCCAGTGGGATCTGAATTCAAATCCCGACTCTTCCTGTCACTGAGCCTCAGTTTTCTTCACCTGGGAAATGGGGAGAATTGTGAGCACGCTCCACACAGGAGAGTCCAGGCACGTGGTGGGCACTTGGTCAGTGCTGATTCCCTTTCTCTCTCTTCCCCTTGCCAGGACAGTGTTTCTCCGCCTGACCTCCCTGCTGGTCCTGCTCATCTCTCTCTGGAATCAGATCACTTGCGGGGGAGATGCGGACGCTGAGGAGTGCAAAACCTGTGGCTACAATTACGAAGAACTTCCGGTGAGGATGAGGGGTGGGGGAGGGGACGGACTCCTGGGTCCTTGAAGGAAAGGAGGAGCCCGGTGGGTCCGGACCCCTGGCTTGGGAGGAAAGGGGAGCTTGGGGTGCTAGAATACCTTCCCCTTGAGGACAGGGGTATGGATTTAAAAAAAAACTAAAGGCCCCCAGAGAAAGTATTGATAGAATATCATAGCTTGCAGTTTGGAGACTCAGACGTTCGGGTCTACAGGTGTCTGGGTCCTGAGGTCTTTATGACCCGTTCTTCCTTCCTCAGTGCTGGGAGACTCGCCTGGGACAGGAGATGTACAAACTCCTGCTGTTTGATCTCCTGACCGGCCTGGCAGTCACGCTGCTCATCCAGTTTCCTCGGAAGTGAGAGTCCCGCCCCTTGCTGTGGTCCCGCCCAGCACCCAGTTTTCTCTTTCGCCCCGCCCCTTTCTAGCCCTGCCTCTGACTGCCCTGCCCGCAGACCCCGCCCCTCCACGAGTTTGGTAGTCAGTTCCCTGCGGCCCTGTCCCTACTGCCAGGATCGCCTCTACGCCTCAAGCCCCGCCCTCTAGACACACCCCCTCCAGAACCTTGAAGGCTCCGCCCCAGCCCCAGATATGCTCACTTCCGATTGGTGGGCGGGACGGTGAAGGCGGGGAAACCCGTGGCCGGCCTGCCTCTGATTCGGCCCCGCCTCACCCCGCCCCTCAGGCTGCTGTGTGGCCTCTGTCCCGGGGCGCTGGGTCGTTTTGCGGGGACCCTGGAGTTCCAGGTGCCTGACGAAGTGCTGGGGCTCATCTACGCACAGACAGTGGTCTGGGTGGGGAGTTTTTTCTGCCCTTTACTGCCTTTGCTCAACACGGCCAAGTTCCTGCTGCTTTTCTATTTGAAGAAGGTGAGGGGTGGGGAGCACCCTTGGGTCTGAAGCGGGAGGTATTGGGGCTTGGGCGTCTGGGTCCTGGGGGGAGGAGGGGACTGAGGGATGTGACTACTGGGTCCTGTAGGGGGAGGATGCCAGGGTCGTGGACTACTAGATCCTGACGGAGGATGGGTCTGGAGGACAGATTCCTGGATGTGGGAGAAGGAGGGGTCCAGGGCATCCCAACTTTTAGGTCTGAGGGAAGCGGGGACACGGACTCCTGTGTCTGATAGTGGAAAAGAACTGGGGCTCCTGGATCCTGACTGAGGAGAAGAGGCCAGGGACCAGGGCTCCTGGATGGTGGAGAAGGAGAGTCTGGGGCTCAGATTCCCTCATCCCCCCCCACCAGATCACCCTCTTCTCCACCTGCTCCCCGGCCTCCCGCACCTTTCGGGCCTCCACTGTGAACTTCTTCTTCCCCCTGGTCCTTCTCCTGGGTCTGGCCATCTCCACCGTTCCTGTGCTTTATAGCATCTTCCTGTAAGTGTGAGAGGCACCTGCCTCTCTCTCCCTCCCTCCTTCCTCCTTTCTCCAGGGTTCTGACTTTTGGCCATCCTTGAGCTCTGCCTGTCTTTGACTTCAGGATCCCACCTTCTAAGCTGTGTGGTCCATTCCGGGGGCAGTCGTCCATCTGGGCCGAGATCCCCGAGTCTATTTGCAAGCTCCCTCAGCCTGCCCAGAAATTTCTCTTCTTCCTGGGGACCCAGGCTTTTGCTGTGCCCCTTCTGCTGATCTCCAGGTGAGAGCCCTAGACTCCTGGGTCTGAGTTTGAATGTCTGACCTGGGGTCTCGCTGCCTGCTTCCAAGAAAGAAGGGGGCTGGGGGCCCAGACTCTTGGGTCTGAGGAAAGGAGGGGGCTGGGATACTAGACTTCTTGAGTCTGAAGGAGGAGGTCCAGACTCCTGATTACTAAAGAGCCCTACGTTGAAGATATTCTAAGGGCGTTTGGGGAGTAGCTTCCATTCTGTCTCTTCTAGCATCCTGATGGCGTATACCGTGGCCCTGGCTAACTCATACGGACGCCTCATCTCTGAACTCAAACGCCAGATAGAGACGGTGAGCCAGGCCCGGTCCCTGGGAAGGGGTCCTGGGGAATATGGAAAGGGACACGGGTGGAGAGAAGATCTGTCTTATCTCCACCTCTCTTTACCCTTTACCTCAGGAGGCGCAGAATAAAGTCTTCCTGGCACAGCGCGCTGTGGCGCTGAGCTCGGCCAACAGAGCTCTTTGACCTGTCCAGCCTGGCTCAGGGTGACCTCCCACTTTCAGACCCAGACCTGCCCTCAGATCCTTTGTAAGCCTCGGCCACATCATTTGGAAAATAAGCGAACTGGAGAAGACTCCATGCTTTTCCAGCCCTGGGATTCACTGCTAAGTCCCTGACTCTCCAGTGAACCTCTTTCTAGTACCAATAAACACAGCTGAGGCTGCTGAGTGCTTTTTGAAACTCGCGTCCAGAAGGCGGGGCAAGGCATCAGCGGGACATAAACCAATCAAATGTGTTTACCTGTGGGTCGGCGCGGCGGGCTCTTCCGCGAGAGGACCTGGCGGGAGTGCCAGCCAATCAGAGGCCGCGTTCAGTAGCGTCCGGGCGGGGACACTTGTGATTGACTCAGAATCTTGATAAGAGGCGGTCGCTAGGCGACACCACGCGCAATTCCGAGCAATGGGAGGTGGGCGTCTCAGCCAATCAACTTTCGCTACAGACCCAGAGGGGCGTGCCAAATAGTCCAGGACCAATCCGTGGCCGAGACAGGGAGGGGCCATCCTCTCGCCAATCTGAAGTGCTAGAAGGCGGGCCTGCCAGTCCGTGGACAGCTACGGCGCCATGAATATCTTACCCAAGAAGAGCTGGCACGTCCGGAACAAGGACAATGTCGCCCGCGTGCGGCGTGACGAGGCCCAAGCCCGGGAGGAGGAGAAAGAGCGTGAGCGGAGGGTGCTGCTCGCTCAGCAAGAGGTAAGCTCCCAGTCCGGCCGGGCGGAGCGCCCAGGCGCCTCGGGAGGGACCGGAAGTGGGGCGGCGCGCAGGCGCAATGCACACCGTGCGGAATTAGGGGCCAGGCTCCCTGGAAGCGTGTGCGGTCTTTTGCGTATCCCACCTCGAGCTCTCCCTGGTCTTGGTTCTCCCCACTCCTAGAGTAGGAGCTCATGAATAAACGAAGCCCTGGACAATTCACGGAAACTCGGACCACTTTTTAGTTTACCTGCACAAACTTCCTATTTAGTAAGCGCCTACTCTATGCTCGCCCCGTGCAGAGCGCTTGACTTGCCAAATCTCTCAAGCACTGTTCGTTCTTAGAGAGGCTGTCATTTCCATTGTGCAGAGAAGTGAGATGGCTTCAGAGAGGAAGACACAGCGAAATGACAGTGGAACAAGCCAGTTCCGCTCTGTCGGGCGAGCCTTTTGCCTGCACCGCTGCCCACACACAAACACTACAGGCTCTCTTTATAACTCCTAACCTGTTTGGTTTATACCTAGCTTCCTGTCCTTTGGCTAATCTGATTGTCAACACTGGCTGGGAGGTAGTCAGGGTTTTTAAAATTCACATTTACCAGTAGAAATTGCAAATCAACTGGGGATAGTGACATGGAGCCCTGCCTGGAATTCAGATCACCTGTCCTAATACACGAATTGGCTGCCTTCGTAGCTGTTTTTACTGTGTCACTCGAGATTGCGAACCCCCCTGGTTTACTGTTTGAAAGGTAGCTTACAAACCCAGGCGTTGCCTCATTCCCCCACCCTCTCCGCAGGCTGGGATAGGTGCCTCTTCTGGGCTCCCAGTGCCCCTGCTCCCTTTCTTTACAGCCCCCAGCACCACGGCCTGTGGTTTTCTGTGGTCGGCACCAGGCTCACAGTTCCTTGAGTCACATCTAGGTTCTGAATGTTCTGCCTATACCTTTCTTTTCCCCCAGGCCCGCACAGAATTCCTACGGAAGAAAGCCAGGCATCAGAACTCACTACCTGCGGCTGAAGCAGCAGCACCAGGAGCCCCAAGCAGTTCTGGCCCTGTGGATCTGTTTCGAGAGCTGCTGGAAGAAGGGAAGGGGGTGAGCAGAGGCAATAAAGAGTACGAGGAAGAGAAGCGACGAGAGAAAGTAAGTCGGTCTTGCCCTCTTCGTCAGAGTCATGGATGGAGCTGGGGGAAGGGGAGCACCTTGCCCGTCAGGTGTGACTAAGGAGTGTTTAGGGATATGGTGGGGATTAAACAAGCTAATGTAGGGAACTCAGAACCGTACTGAAACAGCACTTAAGAGGTGTTGGTTATTGCCGGCAGCTAGGTACAGACCTCTCAGGTCTCTCACCTGCTGTCCAGAGCCTATAGATATTTGGGAAGTGTTAAGGGGCTTTTAAATGTAGATCAGATCCTGTCAGTCACCTGCTCTCAGGGACTTCCCATCAAACTCTGAACTTGCCTCCTCCCCCCACCTCAGTCATTCCTCTTCCTTGCTTGCTTCTCTCAGGTTTTTCTTCAGTTGTCTCCCCAAAGATGCCTGCCTTTGAACCCTAACCTAAACCAGTTCCACCCTGTCCCCTCCTTCCTGTGCTTTTTGTTTCTGAAGCTGCCATTGTGCCCATTGTGCCCCCGGAGCAGGAGCCCCACACGTACTGGTCTGTTGTGTCCCCAGCACCTGGCAGAGTTGGCTCATGACAGGCCTGTTGGCTCAATGTCTGGTTCTGCCTCGGGAACCTTGGGTGTCCCTTGGGTGTCTCCCAAGGGGAGACACACTTGACATTCTCACTTCCACATTTTGTCTTCCTCAGGAGATGCAAGAGAAGGCTCTGGGCATCCTGACGTACCTGGGCCAGAGTGCAGCGGAAGCCCAGACTCAGCTCCCTTGGTACCAGCTCCCCCCAAGTCGGCGCGGCCCCCCGTCTGGTCCAGGACCAGATGAGAAGATCAAGAACCGCCTGGACCCTCTGGGGGAGATGCAGAAACATTTGGGGAAGAAGAGAAAGCACAGTGGTGACAATGGCAGTCACAGCAGAAAGGAAAAGGAGGGACCTGAGAAACGACCCAAAGAGTAAGGAGCCTGGGCCTTGGGGGTTGGCCATGGCCATGCGGGCACCATGGAAGCTCTCTCTGGTTGGGACGGGAGGGCTCTGGGGTCTGGATACGTGTTCTCAACACGTGGTCCAGGGACCCCGGGGGTCCTGACACCCCTTCACGGGGTCTGCGAAGTCAAGCCTATTTTCATAACATCATTTAACTTTTTAACTCTCGTTCTCGGGGTCCCCAGAGGCTACATGATATGAGACGACACCACTGATGTGGCTGGTGGAACATTCGCTTGTGTTAAGATTTCTCATTTTGTATATGCAAGATATTGACAGATAAAATCCACTGAAACAAAGCTCTCTGAGGTTCAGTTTTTGAGACCAGAGTGTGAGAACCACGGGGCTAGAATAAAAGCAGGTTTGTGTCCCTAGGATGCAGACCCCTGAGTGTAGATCGGGTATACCGACCCGTCTCCTTTCTCCCACAGATGAGGGAATGGGGAGGGCCAGGTTGTGCTCAGTGCCATACAGCCGCTTAGTAGTGGAGGGGCACCCACCTGTAGAGGTGGTGAGGCCAGCTTCAGGGTCCCAGCACCAGTCTGCTTCCCTCCCAGGTGGCAGCTCCCTCCCAGAGGACAATGGGGGAGGGCGGGGCCTCCTGGGACTACCAGCTTTCTGAACCGACTCTCATCTCCTCCCAGACCCCCGTCCCTGGACCAGCTTCGAGCTGAACGTCTCCAGCGGGAAGCGGCCGAGAGGGCTCGGGCACAGGCCCTGCTGGCCCGGATTGGAGGCACGGCAGCCCAGGAGGATCAGCCAGAAGAGGTGGACGATCGGCGGAGGCGGTACAACTCCCAGTTCAACCCCCAGCTGGCCCGGCGCCCCCGCCAGCAGGAACGCCCCCTGGCTCACTGACTCAGGGGGTACAGGAGAGGCCGCTGCTGCCAGCCGTCATATAAAACTATTTATTCATAAATATTTTCCAAAATGAAAATAGGTTTACCAAAAAAAGTCCCTCACTGGGGAGGGGAGGAGGGGGCAGCCCTCGCCCCCGGGCCCCCAGGGTGGGGCTGAGAGAAAGAGAAAGCCTCCCAGCCCCCTCCCTGCTTCCTGGGGGAGGGGGCTGCCCTATGGCCTGGGGCCTCCCCCCAGTCTTCCAGGGCAGGGCCCTCACCTGGGCAGGGGGATCAGCATGCGGGGGGAGGGAAGGGTGGAGGGAGGGGCCGGTGTCACTGGAGGTCCCGGTCCTCCAGGTAGCGGTACTCAAAGGTGAAGCCTTCCTTCTTCCGCTGGCCCCACTTCTCGTAGTCAAAGTAGATGTAGGTGCCCTGGCCGGGGGAGAAGGCGATCAGTGAGTGGACGAGGTGGTCGGGGGAGCTGGCAGAGGGACAGGTCTTAGGGCCATGGAGGAGCCAGGCACCAGGCCAACTGCCCTGCATGCACACGCCATCTCACTCCACCCTCACAAGGCTCTTCTCAGGTGGGAAACATTATCACTCCTGCTTCAGAGGAAGCAGAGGGAGGCGCAGGGAGGTCACATGCCAGAGCCGGGCCTCGACCCCGGGCACGTGTGCCAAACATCCTATTGCTTCTCTCGATGGCTTTGGCTTTCCAAGCACTGATCGAGTGCCGAGTACGTGATGTATGTCCTAGGGTTTAGTCTTCACAAAACCCCTGAGGCCATGGAACAGGCTTGGAGTCTACATACATCCAGGCACGCTGCCAGGACAGACGTTTTACTGGCAACAGCGGTGGTGTGGGAACTTCTGAAGGACTGATGCCTGGAAATACACTAACTTAGAGGATTACTTTGGACCAAACCGGGGGGGAACAGGATGTCTGTAGTTAGTGTCCAAGATGACACAGTGGGAATGGGGCCGGGTTCTGAATGAATGGTGGAAATGCTTCAAAGAACCTGAAGGAATGGAGGGGAGGAAGTTCCCTGAGGACAAGGCCCTTGTTCAGTGCTTGGCATCAGGTAAAGATTTGGTGGAAAAAAACCACTGTGGAACATACCAACTAAAAGTTGAAATAAAGTCCAGTACGCCCATGACACTACATAGCAGGCACCATTTAGTACTTACACGTCATTAACTCATTTAATCCTCATAACAACTGCATAAAGGTAGGTGCTGTTACCCCGTTTTTACAGATAAGGAAATAGAGACAGATGTTCAAGTGAATTGTCCACGGTCACCAGCTAGAGCTGGGTTCCAAACCAGGTAGTCTGGCTCCAGAGTGTTTTGCAAGTGGGAGGTCCCAATCAATCAATTACGAGAACAACAAAAGAGCTTCCCCATCCGTGTTTGCTGAGCCCCTCTGCTGGGTGCTGGGGACTGTCAAGGTCCCCGAGCAGTGCAGCCCATGGTCTTGGGTGGGAGACACCACATCCCCGCACCGTGCCAGAGGAGGGGGCAGAGGCACAGGCTGTGTGTGCGCCTGGGGAAGGCTCCTCTGAGGAAGGACATGGAGGCTGGGACCTCTGGGGTGACCGCGAGCTGGCCAGTGAGGAAGAGGACAGTGTCCCAGGCAAGGCAGATGGCCTGAGGGACCGAGCTGGCTGAAGGTGGTGGCAAAGGGAGCGGGCAGCAGGGCTGCCAGTCTGCGTGTGGAGTGGGGACTCTACCCGGACTCAGCCAGCGGGACCAGAGTGGACAGGGCACAGGGAGGGGCCCTCACCTGCTCGAACTCGTCAGTGATGGTCTTGGGCTCCTCGTGCCTCTGGAACCACATCATGTACTTGGTGTGGAATCGCCATGACTGCTTCTTTAGGGCCTTGGCTGCCAAGTACTGTGCCTTAGTGCCCTGAGGAAGGAAGCATGGAACGGGGGATCAGGGGGCCTCGCAACTGGGTGGGGGCCAGGTGGACGGGGCAGGGCGACAGGGCTGACCCCAGGCCCCGCCACAGACCGAGGTTGGGCCGGACAATCCAAGTACGGATGGGCTGGGGCACAAGACGTACCAATGCTGGTCAGGAGAAGGAAAATGAGACGGGAGGTGGAAATTGCTTTCAGAGAAGCTTTGAGAAGGAAGAGAAACTAATCGTGATGAGAGCTGAGAGGAGGCAGTTTAGAAACTTTCTCAAGGCTGGATGAGGGAGGGGGTCACTGGTGACACACTGGGTTACGCAGAGGTTGGACAGTTCCCTAGCGGGTCCCCAGGGAGGCCCGAGTACGTGCCAGCGAGCAGCGTGCTGGCACAGTGAGAGTTATCGGGACGGGCACTGTGGGGCTGGGCTCCCTGGGTGCTGCGCTAGACCAACCCAGCCCTCAGCCTCAACTGACCTGACACCTCAGCACTGGAGTGGGGACAGGGAGGGGTCTGGTTGGGGGGGGGGGCAGGACTGGGGGAGGGGGAGGGGTGCGGTCCCGGTGGCCGCAGTGGGGCACCCACCTCACCCCTCCAGCCCGAGGGGGGACGGCGGCGGTGGCGGCGAAGCCGGGGGTCCCGAGGCTGCCCCGGGGGCCCTGCTGTACCTCCAGATAGTAGAAGATGAAGAAGAGCGTCTCGGTCGACAGCCGCTGGTAGAACTCCACAGTGTCCGAGTGCGGGGGTGGCATCTGGTGGTGGTAGGGGGGCGTCGGGCAGGGGTTCCGGGGGAGGTACTGCCTGTGGGGGGACAGGATGGTCAGTGCCGGTGCGCGGCAGCCCCCGGCCTCCCTGCCTTCTCTCCTCTCGTGGATCAAAGGGAGCGTCTCAGGCACCACATCACCCAGCATTACCACCTCAGTCCCTGTGTCCTGTGGGGAGCCCAGGTCAAGTCTCCCTCGGATTCAGGGGCCCCGTACCCACCCCACGTGGCCCCTCACCGGATGCGCTCAGAGTCTGAGGGGTGGGGCATGTGATGCCAGGCGGCCTCTTCCATGGCCTGCTGGTAGAGCTGCTCCTTGGTGAGGGGCACAGGCCCCAGGGGACACACACCCAGCGACAGCGGTATGTTCACCTCCGACAGCTGCAGGGCCGGCTGGGCCGAGGCCGGGGGAGCTGACGTGCTGCTCAGGATGATGTCTGCGGGGAGGGCAGAGGTGGGGCCGGCGAGCGGTGAGGCTGGTGCATCCGGCCCCTCCTGGACGGCCCGCCCCACCCCTGGAAGCTCACCTCGCTCAGTCAGGTGCAGCGTGGGGACGGGGTCCTCGATGCCAGAGCTGATGGCTGCCCGCTCCGCCATGGACTTCAAAGAGCTCAGAGGCTCAGGGGCCTGGGGAGGGAAGAGGTGCCTGGCCTGAGGTCCAGGGCCGAGGGCTGGCACTGGGTCCTCGTGGGCCCCGGCACCCTCGCCTGCTCCGGTGGGGCTTCAGCTAAGCCAAGGCCGTTAGTGTAAGAGCACGTCCACTGCAGCACCTAACAGCGGGGAGAAAACCTGGACACGACCAAGTGTCCACTGACAGAGGGGTGCCTAGCACGTGTGGACCCTGCTGTACAGCCCCGTGACAGTAACACACCAGCGGAGAGCCCGCGCGCCACCGCCGTCACAGAACCGGCAGCAGCGCCCACTTGTCTGCACGCCTACACGCTGGGAGGAGCCCGCCCACTGCCGGCTGCCCCACGTGCGTCACTAAGACCCCCTGCCCCTCTCCGCGGCCACCGGCCACCGCTGGCCACTGGCAGTTGCCTTCCACTCCTCTCGCCACCCCACTCCCCACACCCTTCAGTCACCGAGGTCTCTCTTCCCTCGGAGGCACCTGCACTGCCGCCCCACACCGTCCTGGTCTCACAGGCCCCCGAGGGACCTTTCCAGCCATGTCTTTCTCTGTCATTTTTCTACTCAAAACCTTTCCACCACTCACCCAGTAATTAAAAAAAAAAAAAATGTTGTGGACCTGTTTTGAGAATCTCAAGGCTCATTTCTTCCCCCAGAAAAATGCATACACTGAACTTCCTGTCCGTTGTATTTCTAAACTTTGGGTGCTCACTGGGAGCCAGAAACTCTCCTGAGAGCTTTATGAGGACTATTCCCAAGCATCCTATCACATTTGAGGAGTGACTGCAATTACTTTCATTTTCCAGATGAAGGCAGGTACAGGAGGCAATGCAGGGCTTGGACCCCGACAGTGGGGCCCTCCTCACCCTGCCTCCTGCGGAAGTGAAGTTAAGACACACTGGCCCAGGGACTTCCCTGGTAGTCCAGTGGTTAGGATTCCACACTTTCACTGCGGAGGGCCTGGGTTCAATCCCTGGTCAGGGAACTAAGACCCTGCAAGAAGTGTGGTGCGGCCAAAAAAAAAAAAAACCCAAAATAAACCCCGAAACACACTGCCCCAGATGGTCACCTCACGTCCTGCTGCTGCCCTTTCAGACTCTGGCCCTGCAGCCAGCCTGCACCCCGTTCTTCTCGCCTCCGCTGAACCCTGCTTCCCAGCCTTCTAACTACAGCTCTGGCATCAGCCCCCCATAGAACTCCAGCCCGGGGGGGGGGTGGGGCGCTTCTCCCTGTCAGCCCCGCCTGCCACTGTGACCCCACACGACCTGGCCCTGGTTCCACCTCACAAACGTTGCTGGGCTGCCTCCCCAGGTTAAGTCAGATACGCACGTGGGTCCACAGCACCCCGGCCCCCACCCCACCCAGACATGCGCGCCATACAGTCCCACTCTGCTCCCTGTACGGAAGGTGGGAAGTGGCTACATTTAGCCAGCACGAAGTGGCTCAGAGCAGACGTCAAGTGTTTTCTGGACTTAAATGTTTTTGTAGAAGGCAAGAGGGTGGTAAGCTCTGGATGGTGGGTCATGTGAAGTAATACGCCGTATGGGGAGAAATGACCGAGGGCTGGAAGGAGGGCGATGACAGTGGACACCCGGGGAGCGAGCAAGCAAGTACAATCAGGAGCAAGGAAAGTACCCAGAGGGACAGAGACCCAGGTGGGGGTGGCAGAGAAGCCCGGAGATGATGTGAGCGCGCAGGTGTGCCAGGCGAGAGAAGCCAGAGCGACACAGCGAGGGCTGGAGGTGGAGATGGCAGGTAGAGACCTGTAGCCAGGGGACAGCGACCATCTGCAGTGGAGACACAGGGCCAGGACAGAAAGGCTCGGGGCCCGCCGGGGATGTGCGGGGCCCACCTTGATCTCCGGGGCAGCGCTGAACTGTGGAGGTCCATTGAGCAGGGCGCCGGCTGCCTTGGCCTCGCTGAAGCTGGGTGTCGGGGAGCTGGGAGGGTTCACAGGTAGTGGCACCAGGAGACTGGGTCCCCCCGAGTTGTTCCCTGAGCCTGGGGCCACGCCCCCAGCCCCCGTTGGGGCTGTCGCATTGGGTTCCTTCCTGGGGAGGGGTACAAAGGGTTGGAGGCTCAGAGGAGGGTCCCCAAAGGCGGGACGGACAAGAAGACTTGGGTGATCGGGGAAAGGAGTCAAAAAGGGAGAATGCACAGAACATGGGGCCAGCTGAGGGACGCAGACAGGAGAGAAGCTCTCTGGGCGAAGGGAGAACCCCACCCCTTGCCATCACTTCCCAGTAAAGAAGGGCTGCGGATGTGGGAACAAGCATTCTCAGGACGCTCCCAGAGACCACACGCCTAAACGTTCTCTAGGAAGCAGGTGGGACCACTTCTTACACGGAGTGGCCCGTGGAGAAAGGGGTGGGAAAGAGCCACACAACAGAGCAGCCCACCTAGAGCCCAGGGGTGAGGCACCCGGGGAGGAGGGAGGGAGGGAGGGATCCGGGGGGTCTTCCCCATTCCCACAGAGGACGCTGCGCTCTCTCTTGGGCCACTCTTCTGGGAAATGGTCTGACCTACGATCTGGAGGGGTGGCTGGGGAGAGGACGGACTGGGACCCTTCACTGTAAGAAGTGGACGCTGAGCCCCTGACGGAGTGAGGAAGGCCCTGGGGCAGGACACAGAAAAGGGAGGAGGCGGCAGGGCACGACACTCCTGCAGGAAAGGGAGAGCCAGAGCGTTCCAACGGGTCCCCGGGGGGCTCTGAGAACAATCCCACTTAGGCGAGGAATGTTCTAGGGCAGAGCTGGGGGACACACATATACGATACCCCAGCTGGGAAGAAGTCGGGACTCAGCACCTAAGCGGGTGGGAGAGAGCTCTGGGGGAAGTCCCCACTGGCAAGGGCAGGGCCCGGATCTGCACCATGTGGCAACCGTGTGAGCGGCCCCGTGCCTCCTCGTGCCAAAGGCTGCCTGTCCCCAGCCCTGCCCAAGGCCGGACACTCACGAGGTGCTGGGAGGTGGGTTGTGGGGGCCAGACGGGGGGCCCAGGGCCTGGCTGTTGGCACTGCTGCCCCCGCCGCTGCTGAGAGCCACCTCTGCCGGGCTGTCTGCCACTACTGAGCTGTAACCTGGGGGAAGGAAGAGGGGCTGAAAGGGGCCTGCGGCAGCCACCCCAGGACCCCCCACCCGGCCGCCTCCCACTTACTGGTGGCGCCGTTCTGCTTGCCTCCGCCTCCGCCTCCGCCGGGCTGCACGCTGGGGGGCCGGGGCTGCGCGGGGCTGGGCCCACTGGAAGCTGGCGGGGCCACAGCCTGGGCGTAGGGGGCGGGCGTGCCCGAGCTGTGGCTGGGAGCTGGGCTGGCCTTGGCGCCCAGGGCGCTTGGGGGTGCTGCCGGGGCAGGGGCCCCGTTGTTGCCAGGGGCGGTGCTCAGGGCAGAGGCGGCGGGCGGGGGGCCGGAGGGGTAGCTTGGCGGCACAGCTGGGGACTGAGGGTGCTGGCTGCTGTGGACAGGCTTGGAGCCGTTTTTGGCTGGAGACTGCAGGTGGGAGGGAGGAGAGGGTCAGGACAGAGTGGGCCGCAGGTCTCGCCAGCCTCCCGCACACCCCTCCCCGGAACAAGGCTCCATCCTCGGTGCTGGCCTTGCTGCCCCTCCCTGGGGACCCAGATGACCCCCATTCGCCCTCATGGCTTCAACCTCCACCTTCATGCGCACAACACTCGTGCATTTCTAGCCTGCATCCAGCTTGCCATGTCCTGCGTGGACATCCCCACGATGTCCCACAGGGATCTGAGACACCACTTGGGTGTAAGAGAAACCCATCCACCTGATGACAGGGCAGTAGTGGGAAACACATCAATGTCCTCAGTATGAGGTTAGCTGGACCCAGCCAGAAGTCCAAGGGGAGAAGAGAGGACAGCTGAAAATAGGATAGTAATTCTGAATGTCACTTAAAGGGTCCCAAAAGCAACTCGAGGGGCCGTTAATGACCAATACCCCACAAAGCACGTGGGGTAACGTGCGCCTGACAGCCCGCGGCTGAGCTGCTGACCACCCCTCTCAAGCCTACCCGGCAGCCGTCCTCGCCGCTTCCTGGACCCACCCTGAGGCCCCACGGGCACCTCACGCTCACTCCGCACCAAGCAGGACTTGCGATCAACTCCTTCCCGACACCACGCATGGTCACCCGGGTCCCACACCAGCCTCATCAACTCTGCCCTCAGGCTCTCCCTCGGGACCAGCCCTCCGACGAGCCCACAGAGGGGTTTCAGGCTCACTTTCCTCCTGCCTAAAGATAGCATTCCGGTGCAGCAGCATTTCCTAAAGTGTGCTGCTGCCCTGGGACACGTGAGCAGAATCCACAGGGTGCACTAAGGAGAAAAAACTCTCGGAGGCACTTCCCCTCTTGGAAACTTGTGATATACACCATCTGCGCAGCCAAGGCCCAGAAAGCGCCCAAGAAAAGAAACCTATGTGGTTTTTGACCTATCATTTCTGGGGCTTGCTGGGCCCTTTCAGAGCTGGTCCACCCGGTGTGGGCCCCCCAGCCCGACAATCTAAGGTCCTGCGCTCGCGGTCAGCCCAGTGGACCTGGCTGGGCTCACCTCTCCACACTTCCACGTCCACCACGACTGGCCTATGTCTCCTGTCGCTGCCCCACACGGGAATGTATCTTCCTCTAATGCCCAGGGCAGACGCCCTTCCCAAGAAGCGTCTCCCAACCACAGCACCAGCCACGCACCTGTCTGCCTGCCCATCAGTACTGCAGGCCTCCCTCAGGGCAGCCTGACCCACCGCGTCCCCAAAGCCCAGCATGGGGGCCACACTCAGGCCTCAGTAAGCCTCTGGAAACCAGCGAAGGAGCGAGTGCTGGGCCCATCAACGTCCGACGCCCATCGGACCCACCTGGCTGATTTCACTATCCGTCGAGCGTCCCCTCTTCTTGTCATCTTCAGAGTTTTCCTGAGGTTTGAGAGGTGCAGTCAGAAACCTGTGTGTCTCTAGGGACCCGACAGAGACACCAATCTCCGAACCCCCGGATCTGAACCCAGCTGACCTACCTTCCAGACCCAGAGCTGTTCAAGCCCCTATGACCTTCATCTCACTGGGGAACCTACCTAAACCCTGCCCCTTAGGGTGCTTGTCTTCTGGGGGCCAGCACCACGTGCCAGGCTCTTAAGGGTCCAGGAACCTGCTCTCCTTCGAGTATCCAACCCTCCATCCCTTCCCAGGTGTCCAGTGCCCAGGCTCCTCGGCACCCCAGGCACCAGCCTCCCTCCTCCACACTCAGGACCCACGTGTGGCCCTAACCGCCCTACCGGCAATCTACAGCCCTTGGGGCCCAGACCCTGGATACCGAGGTTCCCCTCCTGCAGGACATTTCCTCAGCCCCCGGCCCCTGTGCCCTCCGTGGAGACTCAGACCCACAGGCCTCACCGTGGTGCAGTTGGCCGGGCTGGGCGGGATGGGCGAGCTGGAGGTGGTCGAAGTGGGCGTGCTGCTTGACTGGTTGAAGATCTCATCCTCCATGTGACTGTGGCTGGGCGGGGAGGTGGCGACCAGCGCCTGTGCTGTGGGGGCGTGGAGGCTGTATGAGCTGGTGGGGACGCCTTCCCCCAGGCCTCCACCGCCCTTCACCCGCAGGCCAAGCCCGGGCCTCACGAATGTCCTCGAGGTCCAGGTCGTCGTAGAGGAACTCGTTCTCCTCGAAGTCGGGGTCCTGGGACGAGTCCACGTAGTACTCGACGTCGTCCTTGATCTTGCGGATGGCGTCCACGAGGATGGAGTCATTGTCCAGCATGCGCAGGATGGTCTCCAGCATGCGCACGTGGTAGCGGTGCTTCTCGATATGCCGCTTCAGGCCCTCGATCCGGTCCTGCTTCTGCTGGCGAGCCCAGGGCCAGGCTCAGGGGCTGCAGGGCCTGCCCTGCCCCTCCTGCCCCCACAGAACCCGTCCTCAGTCCCTGACCCTGGTGGAGACCCAGAGGCCCCACTCCAGCCCCTCCGGGGTCTGCCCGCCTTGACCCCTCAGGGATCCTGCAGCTCCTCCCACCCCGACATCCCTGGAAACTGCTGAAGGAGCCAGGGATCCCGGCGTCTCCCCTATAACGTGGCCCGATCTGCACCCCGCCTGACCGTCCAGCCCACCCACCAGCTCCGACCACCTTCTGGAATACAGGAGCACAGCTGCCCCTGTCTTGCTCTAACAGTAATAATGGCAATCCCCGTTTGGGGGAAGCTTGTTGTTTACAACTCTGAGCATCTGTCACCACCATGACCCCCACCCCCAACCACGTGTCCCTAAGAGGAAGCCCAGATTCAGAGGCCTGTCTCCTAGGCTCCCTCCCAAGGCCCCACTCCCTTTAGGATTTGACATCCTAGCCCCAGTTCCAAATCCCTCCTGCCTGCAAGGACCTCCCTCCAAGCCCACGGTTCCAGACCCCTCAGTCTCAGACACCCAACTCTGGCACACCGCCGCCCCCAGCTTCCCGAAGAGCCAGCTCTCTGTCCCCCGTACTTCCTGGGTCAATACGCAGAGAGAGTCTGCAGCCCTAGGAACTCGGACCCTACAACCCTGGCTTTCTGGAATCTGGGTCCTGAGCCCTGACTTTGTCTCAGACCACTCTTCTCCTCAGCCTCAATGAGCCGCTCCTCCATGCCCCGCCTTGTCCACACCTGCTGTCCTCTCCTTAGGACCCGGGCCCTCTAGGTGCTGTGAGGCCGCAGCCACAGCTCCTCAACCTCCCCGCCCTGGGCGGCCCTCGGGTCTCACGCTTACTCTGCGACCCAAGCAGAGCTCAGCATCTTCCCCCAAAGGGCTCCTCTTCTTGTCAGCTCCAATGTTTACCCAGACACCCAGGTGGGACCCTGGAGTCTGCCTCATCTGTTCCCTGCACGCCCCACCCTCCAGTCAGCTGCTAAGCCCTCCCCATCCCACCCCTTGACCCCCTAATCCTAGCTGCCAGCCCTGTCTGCCTCAGGAGCCCAGGCCCCGACTCCCGCAGCCCGGAAAGCCGGCCTCTCCTGATCGCCAGCCCATCTCTGTCCTCTGGGCACAGGGGCCCCCCACTCACATCCTTGTCGCCCTTCTTCTTGCGTGTTTGCACCGACAGTGACTCCACTTCACTCTCAAACTGGTCCACCTGCATATTTAGGGTGTCGATGGTATTCTGAGGGTGGGAGGGGAAAGGCAAGCGGTCAGCCAGAGTCCTCTCATACAGCCAGGGTCCGGGCCCCAGGTCACCTCCTCCTCTACCCTGACTCACCGTGAGCCACTGGCCGACCTCCTCCTTTTCCTTCTGGGCAGGGTCTACCTTCTGTGCCAGGCCCAGGCCCTCCTTGCTATAGGCTTTGGTCTTGGTCTCTCGCTCCACAACTTTGAACCGTTCCATTTGCTGTGGAGAGCAGAGTTGGAAAGGGGATCCCAAAGGTGGGAGAGCAGCTGACTCAGGGCCAGTGGACACTCAAACCGGAGCCCCACTCTCAGGTTCCCAGCCCTTTGCCTCCCACCTTCCCCAGGTACAGAGACCTCACTCTTCTCAGGACCTCTGGGGACCCAGGAATCCGACCACCCACCTCTCAGGTAGCAGACTCTGGGCTCCTACCGTCTCAATGAGCTTGCGGTTGTCTATAAGCTGCCTCTTGTCCTTGATCTCATTGGATGCTACCCAAGTCTTGATCTGGTCCCTCAGCCGCTGGAGGTGGGAACAGCAGGACACTCAGGACCCGGGCACCGAGGCCCCCGCCCCCTCCTCTCCCTGTTCCCCCCGCCCTCAGGACACAGGAGTCCGGGCCCCCAGCCCCCTCACTTGAAGCTTCTTAATCTCCTTCTTTAGATCAGCCTCATACTTTTCTTTCTGGTTCGCGTTGGCTGCATTGTGGAGCTGAGGGATGGAGAGAATCCAGGAGTTTGTGTGGTGCTGGCTGCCCTACTGCCCACTCCAGTGGTAAAACTCCAGTCTCTCTCTGCGGGCTGGGGACTCTGGGGACAACCCCCCCCAGGACCAATCCATCTCAGAGCTGCTTCTCTGAGGTCCTTGGCACCTGGACATGCAGGCCCTCTCCCTGGTTGACACTCAGGAACTCCTCAACTTTGTTCTGTTCTCTCCTCCCTAGAGACCCACCCAGATTTTTAGGGGCCAGCCCCTGTACCTTCTGCCAAATATCTTCAAACTGCTCCACGCCCTCGGACACCTTCTTGAGGCAGCGATCAATCTCACCTGGCCAGGGAGGAAGGCAGGCTGTTAGCATCCTGCCAAGGCAGCAGGGATCCAAAGAGGAGTTCCGAGGAGAGTGAGCACGTGGCCACACAGGCAGCAGGCAGTGGACCTAGTACCTTGGAGTTTGCGCTTGTCCGCCATCTTCCCTGCCCTACAGACGCACTCTCTTCATACTCTCTTGGAGAAGGACGCTGCTGGGAGAGATTGGGAAGGAATACACATTTACTCCCTGGCTGGTCCAAACCCAGAGACATGAACGAGGTTGGGAACAGGGTGCATGGGATGGAAAGGGGAAGATGCATTTACTATCTGATGACAGACTGGGCCCAGTTCTCCTTTTGCTGCCTGGACTGCCCAGCACAGGGTCTGGTCCAGAGAAGGACTCTGGAAGTTTGCTGAAAGAAGGAAATAGATATACTTTTTGGGACTTCCCTGGTGGCACAGTGGTTGAGAACCCACCTGCCAATGCAGGGGACACGGGTTCGAGCCCTGGTCCAGGAAGATCCCACATGCCGCAGAGCAACTAAGCCCGTGCGCCACAACTACTGAGCCTGCACTCTAGAGCCCACGTGCCTAGAGCCCGTGCTCCGCAACAAGAGAAGCCACCGCAGTGAGAAGCCCGCACACTGAAATGAAGAGTAACCCCTGCTCGCCACAACTAGAGAAAAAGCCCGCGCGCAGCAAGGAAGACCCACCACGGCCAAAAATAAATAAATACATAAATAAACAAATAAGGTATACTTTTTGTGTGCCTCTGACCCAGGAAGTGGAAAACTCCTAGAGCATGGAGCACTTTCTCCCCAGATGATACTCAAAAGGATTTTTTAGAGCAGAAAAATGTCATGCAGCACACAGCTGCCTGCTAGGGACAAAGGCCTTAGACCTGGAGACCACAATTCCCATAGAGAAGTCAAGCACACAGGTGACCAGAATCCTAACACAGGGAGAGGTTACTCCTCAGACAAGTCAGGAGACAAAGAATTTTGCATCCCATGGAGAAGGGCACGATACCATTTATACGTGTATCAGTTGTAAGGAACAAAGGGGAAGTGCAGTGGGGGGACGCGGAAGATGCCTACAACCGTGAAAGCTAAGCCCACCCACAGACATGGCTGGATCCCACGTAGAAGAGGGCTGCAGACCTCTGACAAGTTTATTCCAGAGAAGGATCCTTAAAGCAAAGGAGACAATACTCCTAACCCAAAGAGGGTAATACCAAAAAGGGTTACAGGTTTGGGGGCAGAACGCATCATTCGAGAGAAGAGCAGGAGAAGAGAGAACTCTTACGAAGATGAGAGGATGAAAGGGAACCTGAACTGGGAGGGAGCTATCGGCACACACGAAGGAATTGCATGTCAAGCGCACGACTGGTAATGTAGACTCAGGGAAACATAAACCCTCAGACAAGCACCCAATACTTAGAGACACTGGCACCTCCATCCTAAAGGAAGTTACATGCAACCCAGAGGGGACTGAGGTCAAAGGGCAGTCACCAGAAGCTTTCGCCAGGGCCCGACACCAAGACCAGGAGAGATGGGGAGCCTTGGGGAGGAAGAGCTATGCCTGTGCTGCAGGAGGTCCCCACGCCCAGCGAGGGGGCCTCTACTGAAAAGCATGGCTTCCTGAGACCTGGGGAGTGCCCACTCAACAGGCCTAAGGCAGGGTGCCCCAGAGCAGCCCCAACTGCCCAGGCAGAAAGAGCCCTACACGGAGGACTCAGAGCCTTAACCCAGAGGGAAGTCACAGCAAGAGGGCCCCCACCCACTGGGAAGGGAACGCAAAGAAGAGTCCGGCCCAACAGAACCTTCCACAGTGACAGAAATGTTCTGTATCTGTGCCACTGAACGCTCGACAGCTCCAAACGTGGCTAGTGCAACACAGAATGGAATGAAAAATTTTTCTGCTAACTAGTTAAAATTTAAATCACACGTGGCTAGCAACTACCGGTGGCACAGGGTATCAGAGAGCACGCCTTAGAACCAGAAGCCCACGTGACGGGGCTGGCCCTCAACCTCAGAGCAGCGTCCTCCACAGGGACCCACTTGCATGACGGCAGACCTTTGACTTGGGGGAGCGTGGATCTCCCCCATAAAGGAGCAAGCAAGAGGAATGGCAGCACCCTTGGCCCAGGGCTGGCTGACATGCCAAGGTGGGGCGCAATCCCAACACGGGAAATTCCAGCTCCAGGAAGGCGAAGCCGCCAGAAAAAGGATTCAGGAGAGAGTTGCACAGAAGGGACTCAAACTGAGGTGGGGCAAGAGCCTTTGACCTGGGAGCTCACACAAGGGCCTGGACCCCAGCACTGAGGTGTGCAGGAGAGTTTTTGCTCCAACACCCCAACACTGAAAAGCCTCTTACTGCCCAGGGGTGGGGGGTGGGTACAGGAAGCTTAGACAGGCGCTTATACTCCCGGTCTCTGTCCCAGGAGCCCAATGCTGGGGCACGGCCGGGTGGTCCAGCCCAAAGGGACAGGACGCCCAGTTTACACCCCTAAACAAGGCACTGCATGCTTTAGGGAGGGGAGGCTTTCTCCAGGTCCCCACACTGAGTGGGCTGGGACACCCAGCCCAGCTGAGGAGTTGATACCCTGCAGAGGGGGCAACAGACGGTGGCAGCAGGAAGTCCTGAAGGAGTCGGAAGCAAGGTGCCAAGGGAACAAGAGCCCCAGCCGGGAGAGTGGGGTTTCAGACAGAACCTCAAAGTGGGCAACAGCTGAGACCGGGAGACCTGCCCCGAGGAAGGCAGCTCCTCCAGAGAAGGGCAAGTACGCCAGGCTCTCCACAGAAAAACCCCACAGCAAAAGGGTGCCTGTACCTTAGATCCCCAGCAAAGGACCAGAAAGGAAGCTGGGGCCTGAGTCCTGAAGTAGAGATGCCCCCACAGAAGAGTCCCATGCTTAGAGGGCTGGGAGCCCCAGCGCTCTGGGAGGGTCCACCAAGATGCTCCAGGGAAGGCAACCGTGGCAGGCCCACTCTGAGACAGGCAGGCATCTCAGGGAGAGGACCTGGTGTCCTCACCGCATGGAGTCTCAAACGGCACCGAGGAATCTGGGAACCTTGGCCCCGGAGACTTAACCAAAAGACTCTGTCCGAGAAGACACATCCCCACGAGTAAGGAGCCTACGCTGAGCGGGTGGGTAGGCTGAGCCGTGTGCCAGACCCACAAGAGCCAACACCATAAAGTGAGGGGCTGAAAGTAACAAAGAGCCCCCAACGGCACCTCAGGGGAGATGACACTGCCACACGGAGCGGCCTGGTGAGGAGTGGGGCAGGAGGAGCAGAAAGCTTAGTCCTGGGGAACCAAGCCAAGCGGTCCCCGATCCTGGGGCTGTCACGTGCCGATACACAGCAGCCGTGTACCGTGGGGAGAGGAGATCGGGCCTGCTGGGAAGTGACACTGGAAGGCCATCCTGAACTTGGGAGGCTGCTGACGCTGTCACACAGAGATCTGAGAGGCCGGAAGGTGGATGTATTAGGTCCTGGGGCGGAGGGAGTTATCTCCCCACGCGAGGCCCAGTACCAAGGGTGGGGGACTGGAAATCCCACCTTGGAAAGGTTACACCAGAGGAATCTTTAGTCCTGGGGAAGGTGACAACAGTGGGGTCGCCCCCTCAAGTCTCGGGGATCTCACACCCCCACGTCAAGGAACCTGTGCCTCAGGAGAGGGCAGAAGCCTAGTCCCACCCAGTGGGACATCACAAGCAGGGGCTGAAGCATTAGCCCTGGGCACCAACACCTGAGAGGGTCCTTAGTCCCACAGGAGGAGACACACAGAAAGGCAGAGACACCTCAAATCCAAGAGTGGCCAATACAGGCAGGAACCTTACCCCTGGAGGAGGCAACACTGAGAGGCTCCTCGTCTTGGAAAAAGGCACCACTCCAGCCCCAAAACCCCACACCTCACAGTACAAGAACCTCAAATCTAAGAAGTCTTACACTCCTAGGGGGTTCTAGCAGGGTGGGCATGGGTAGGGATGAGCCCTGGTTCTACGACTGTTACACCAAGAGGGTTCTCTAGTGCCGGGAAGCTCACACACCCACAATGAGGAGCCCTAGAGGAGCACCGAGGGGGTGGGATCCTTGACCCCTGGAAAGACGATACCCCAGTGGAGGAACTGATGTGAATGCAGATAGAAGCCTCAGACTGAGGGAAGCGACAGCCTACACGCTGAGGGCAGTGGCGGAAGGTGTCAAAAAAAAACAGTACCGAAAGGACAGGAGCATCAACCTCGGGGGAGGTGACAGCCCCTGAGCTAACAGGCAGGTCCTGCTTAGACACAGGGGGGCTGGCGCTGCCCACAACAGGAGATCATTAACAACGTGGAGACAGCAGGAACCTGGGAGGTACCACCAAGAGAGAACCAGGTACCTGAGACCCAGGGGAGCTCAAGAGCCCCACCAAAAGGACCCCGAGGCGGGACTGACATCGAGAGGAAGCCCACACCGGGAGGGAGGTGGGCAGAGTCTGGATCCAGGCAGAGCTCACAACCAACAAGCCAGAGCTCACATCCAACAAGCCAGAGACCGATACCCAGACCCAAGAAGTAAGAGCGCAGGCCTGAGCGGGTGACGCCGAGAACAATCCTGACTCTCCAAGGAGTAAGGCCTGGGCTGTGGGATGTGGAAGCCTTAGACCTGGGGAACTTTTCACTACAGAGGCGTAAACTTGGGCTGAGGCTCCAACTCCTGGAGGTGGCATCTTCACTCCAGGGGAGTTCATCCCCCACCCCATCCCCAAAGAGGAGAGTGGCGCCCACGGTGGGAGGGGAGCGGAGAGAGGAGCGCTGGCCCCGGGAAGGCTGACCCTCTCTCGCCACGGGGGTCCTCAACCAGGGGACTCGCAGCCCCACACCCACGCGGAGGGGGCAGCCTCGCCCGGAGACCGCTCCCCAGCACAGGGGCTGCTGCCGAGGGGGGCAGGCACCTGAGCCCCGAGAGGGCGGGCACCTGCGGCCAAGGCGCCTCCATCCTTCCAGCTCCTCCCGACGCGGAGAGGGGCGGGCACCTCGCACCCTCACACCCCACGGGGGCTCGACGCGGACGCCGCGCGGGGCCGGGGTCGCGGGAGGACCCCCGGGCGCCGCCGAGGGGCGTGGAGGAGGGAGCGGGGGCGGGGGAGCCGCGCACCGCCGGGCCGACGGCGAGCGCCGGGGCCGCGCGGTGGCGGGGGCGCCGCGCCGGGGGCGGCCATATCGCGACAGGCGGCGGGGTCGCAGGGGCGGGAGGCGGCGGGGAAGGCGGCCGACGGCGCCGGGGGAGGAGGGGAAGGGGTCCGGCCCAGTCGAGCCTGACGCTCTCACCACAGGAGCTGGCGCCGCCGCTGAGGAGCGTATCGCGACAGGCGGGGGAGGCGAGCGCCCGCCGCCTTTTTCTCGCGCCCCGGGCCCGGGCGCTATCGCGATAGCGGCGCGAAGCGGAAGTGGGGTGGGGGGAAGTGGGCCCGGGGTTGTTCTGACGACGGGGGTCGGGGCTCAAGGGAGGCCGCGGCGTCTGCCGATGGCTCCGCGGAAGCTGACCGGGCCCGGTCCAAGATGGCGGCGGCGGAGGAGGCCTCCCCTCCTCTCTTCTCGTCTCTGGCGCCGACCCGCCCCCGAGCCCCGAATATAGGCCTGTCATTGCTCCGGCCGCACGTCGCTCTTGCCCCTCGGACGCGCTCTACTGGTTCTTGGCGGGGATGCGGCCGGCCCCCTCTCTCCGATTGGACAATCTCTCCAAGGCGCGGCGTTCGATTGGCCTCCTGCGCGGGCTGCTAGGATTGGCTCAGGTTTTCTTCCCCGCTCCTCCGCCTCCTCCCGCCTCGGGGCACAACACGCCAGCGCGAGGACTCGTGCGTCAATCCAGAGACCTGTGTCGTGCTGATTGGATACACCCGCCCCCTTTCTCTTAAACCAATTGGTCGGAGGGAGGAGCTAGGCTGATCAGGGGCGGGAAGTCGTCCGTCAAGTTTGGAGCCGTTTTCAATTGGCCGTGGCGGGACATTCTGCCCTGAAGTCATTGGCTGGTCCAGGAAGTGGGTGGGGAAAGCGAAGGAAGGCATGGAGAGTGGGCGATAGAGGCCGCGTACCTAATGGGAGAAAGACAGGTGCCTTCAAAGCGGGGGCCGGGCTGAAGTCATCTGCCAATGAAGACAGCCCCTGGGCTGGTAGGGAGGAGCCGGGAAAGAGGGTCCAGCCCTCTTCTTCGTTGGCCCTGTAATCGTTCCTCCCAGAGTGTCCAATAGTTTGGCGAGTGGGCGGTAACCGCTCCTAAGGCGTGTGAAACGGGGCGTAGCAGGCAGGCTTGGAACCTGGGAGCATCCTTCCACCTCCCTTGGGTCCTGGCCGGGCAGGCCGGTCCCTGTCTGTGAGCTGCACAGTCTTCAAGTGCCTGTATTTGGCATATCTTTGAGACACAGAGGAAGGGAGAAAAGGAAGGAAGCAGGAGACGATGCCCCAAGTCACTGGCATCATGCATAGCTGAATTGGTTGGGAAGCGCCATGGAGGCATGGAGTATTTGTCCTGCTTCTGTGTGGTTACATGACCGTGGGACAGTAATTCTCCTCTGCACCTCCATTTCCCTGGTGTTGTGAGGACGCCGCAGAAGGTACAGATGAGAGTCCCTGTTCCCCTCCCACGGTTGCCTCCTAACACCTACTGGTCCTTAAGATCTCAGCTCAGTGGTCTTTTCTAGCGGGAAAACTTCCCTGACCTCCCGTGCTGAGTGCTCACGTGAGCCCTGTTCATTCGGATTTACTTTTGCACGTATACTGTCATTTTCTTAATTATTTGAATCTCCCCCTCCGGATTTTTGCATCCCCAGCGCTTAGCAGCAAGAAGCACTCAGTAACCGTTTGCTGAATGAGTACCTGGATGAACAACGGGGAATGACTTGTGGTTAAAACTTGCTAGGCACTGGTGCTCTGGCAAACCAGGAGGCATTTGCCCTGGGTCACACAGTCAAGATGAAGTCATTTCTGTCCATCTCCTCTAGGTGGAGGAAAGTAAGATAAATCCAAGGGAAATGCAAGTGAGAACTGCATCAGAATCGCCTGTGGCAAGGCAGGCAATGCTTATAAAAACGCAGTGCTCTTAGGCCCACACAGATCTGGGAAGTGAAACCTAGGGATCTGTATTTTTACAAACTTCCTGGGTGATCATTAGAGGTCTTTTGTTGTTTTTTTTTAATATTTATTTATTTATTTGGTTGCACCAGGTCTTAGTTGCGGCAGGCGGTCTCCTTAGTTGCGGCTCGCCAGCTGCTGAGTTGTGGCATGTGAACTCTTAGTTGCGGCACGCACGTGGGATCTAGTTCCCTGACAAGGGATCGAACTCAGGACCCCTGCATTGGGAGTGTGGAGTCTTAACCACTGCACCACCAGGGAAGTTCCTCGTTAGAGTTTAAGAAATATTGATCCAGAAGACCCTTGTTATTTAAAGTGTGGTCCCTGTTGTAAATCAACTACTTCCCCTAAAACAAACAAACAAAAACAACAAAGTGTGTTCCCTGGATGGAGCAGGGCCTTTGAGGTTTCTCAGGAATCACCTGGGGATTTGTCAAATGCAGATTCTGACTCAGGAGGTCCCAGATCCTGCTTTTCTAACAGATTACCAGGCAGTGCTGCCAGTCCACACTTTGAGTAGCAAGGGTCCAGAGCAGTGGTTCTCAAATTTGACTGCATGTGTGAATCACCTGGGGGCTTAAAAAAAATCCAGATACCCAGGCCTTGCCCTAGACTGATTAAATAAGCGTTTCTCAGGATGGGAACCAGACATTAGTAATGCAAATTCCTGAGATGATTCCAACATGCCACTAATCTGATAAGAGGATTTTCTAGAGCAGTGGTTTTCAAAGTGTGGTCCCTGCATCAGCAGCATAAACACCACCTGCGAAGTTGTTAGAAAGTCACGTTTTTGAGCCCCACCGTAGACCAACTGAATCGGAAACCTGGGCCCTGTAACCCGTTTTAACAGTCCTTCCAGGCAATTCTGAGGCATATGAAACTTGGAGAAACTCTAAGAGTATTCGGGACTGCAGGGCCAGGTGACTCAGATTCCTTCTTGAGATTCTTCACACCTCCTTGCCCCCTCCACCGTTCGATTCAGTCTGGCCAGGGGAGATGGGGACTCTGAAGAGCTGTGGACAGACGGCCCTTCCCTGGCACCCCCAGAGACAGAGATCAGCAAAGGTCATCACTTTTAAGCAAGGCTGATCTAAAGTTCAGGGATAAATCTGGGGAAACAGTTATGTGACCTGGAGTAATCTGGCCTTTGGAAAGAACCTCCCCGGTGTGCAGACTCTTTCATGTGAGGGAGGGGAGAGATTCAGAGAGGGCCTCTGAGGTCCAGAGACAGAGCCCTGGGCTGAGGGAGGGACTGGGGACCGGAGACACACACAGAGCCCCTAGTGGTGATGGGGGAGTCCCAGAGAGAGGAACAGAAAGAGAGAGATCTCAGATAGGACCCAGTGAGGCAGAAAGAGACCCAGGGAGAAAGCTCGAGCTAGAGAGGCATCACTCCCCCGGGGCTGGTCCTCCTGGGTAATTAAGAGAAGTGCTGACCGTTCAGGTAAGTGAGCAGCTGTGAAGCCCATCTCCCAGCATGGGGTAGGCTACCCCTGGCGGCACGGTGCTCTCTTTACCAGGCAGGAACTTTCATAGCACTGAGTCCCTGCCAGGGCTGGGCACCTGTCTGCTCCACCCTGCCGGGGCTTGGCACACCAGGGTGGGAGGGGGAGTCCTCAGCAAACACTGGAGAGAATAACAAAAGTGCCCGGTCGTGGGGCCCTGACGGTGAGCCCAGTGCTAAGTGCTTCCTGGGCATCTTTTACGTCCTCACAGGTGCGCCTGGTGGTTGAAGTGTGGAGGCTTGGAAGGCGGCAGAGGCCAACTGCATGAGATGCCACGACCACCCAGGGCGGCCTGCATTGAAAGCTGGGGCGTCAGAATGACCGGGGTTCTCTAAGGGGCCTGGAGATGGAGAGGGCTCTTCTCTTCCCGGGACTGCACGATGAGGAAGTGACAGGCCCGGGGTTGGATCCAGATTCCAGGGAGCCCAAGCTCTGTCCCCCCAAACCCCGTAGCTCCTCAAATCGCCCGGGTGTTCGACAAACGATCACTCGCCAAGGACAGATCCTGACAATGTGCTTTTAATTGCACTTATTCCAAAGGTATTTCCTTTCCCGGTTAAAATAAAAAAGATGCGTGATGAAGGCTGGCTGTGTGTGTGAGTGGGGCGGCGATCTCTGTGCTCCGGGGCCGGGCCTTCTCCCGTGCCTCGCCGGACAGTCCCAGCACCGGCCGGCACGAGGCGGCTCTCCTTGCCGGAACCTCCCAGCCCCATCCTGACCCCGATCCCTTCAGAGAGGTGGGGCCTCTGTGTCCCTTCAGCGGGAGAAGGCCCAGGGCACCGCCCCTCAGGTGGACATGATGCCGCTTTTCTCACCCTTGACCTTGAGGAACTCGGCCATGCTGGAGAAATACTTCTGGTTGGCCTCAGCCACCTTCTTCTCCGCTGCTTGTGGATTCACAATCTCCAGGCCCTGGGCAGGTGAGGGAGATGGGGTGGGGTGGGGAGACGGGCCTGGGCCCTAACAATGCCCCCCGCCCAGCTCCCCCAGCTCCCAGTGAAGGAATCATGAAATGTCAGGGGCCCACGGGCCCTTCCCAGTGGTCCTTGGGCTCTGGGCAAACATGTGGACAGTTTGCCAGCCCCCAAATCTCCCCCACCTTGGGAGATTCTGACTCTGTGGGCCGGGGGGTGGGGGAAGAGGGGAGGATCTGGGCATCTGAATTTTTAGCAGGTTCCCCAGGAGACTTTAAAAACACCACCGTTGGAGAACAGCTGATCCTGTTCGGTTCCTGAATAAGGAAACTGAGTCCCAGAAGTAAGTGGCTTGCCTGCAGTCCCAGCACAAATTGCACCAACCCCACCGAGGATTTAACGACCAGCCCTGGGGACCCGACGTGTGGCAGGCATTGTTGTGAATGTTCTACACACGGTGACTCTCATCTTCTCGCTGAGGCCTCCCCTGGAGGCTCCCCATCTCCCTTAGTCCTTTCAATCTCCAGCACTGTCCTCCTTCCAATACACTATGTATCTTAGTTATCTGTCCCCCTGCCACCCCCTAAGCTCTGGGAGGGCAAAACTTCCTGTCTCTGTTTTGTGGCTTTGTCCCGGCACCTGCAACAGCGCTCGGAATTTAGCAGGCACTCAGCAGACACCTGCTGATGGAGGGGATGCGCTGCGCTCCTCAGACCCCGAGGGCCACACCAGCGCTGTCTGGTGGGTGAGTAAACCGAGGCGCGGACCGACAGGGGCGTGACCTGCCCTGGCTCCACCCTGTGCTCTGGTGGTTGGCTGGGGTCCCGACTGCCCAGCCCACCCGCCTAGGACCTTTCCTGTGCGGGGCCCTGAGGTGGCCCCAGCCACCGGATCTTGGAAGGTGGGGACCCAGAGCCTCAGGGAGGGACTGAGCCTGCTCGAGGTCATAGAGACCAACTGGTCCCTGGTAACTTCACCGAGTGCAGGGAACCCAGATACGCCCTTCAGGGGCTTCATCGGTGCCCACTCCCCCCACGGCAGCCCCGAGAGGGGCCCTGTCGTGTGCTCATTCCGCAGGCGAGGCAGCTGAAGCCCAGCAGGGGAAGGGGTTTTCCCTGGGCCTCCTGACCCAAGGGGGGCCGGTACCTGGAGTGGGGTGAAGGCCACGCTGGAAGCAGTCCCCGAGGAGCGGTCGCGGATGGTGGACTTGCCGCCGTACACCACGCTCTGCTTCTGCAGGGTCCGCTGTGGGGAGGGCCGGGGAGGTGCAGACTGTGGCTGGGGCCCAGCGCCCGAGCCCGCAGCCCCTCACCCTCAGCCCCCGCCCCAGCCCGCGGCCGTACCTGCAGCGTCTTGGAGATCCTGGCTTTGGTGGCCTCGTTCACCTGTGTCTGCCGCACCCGCCCGCTGCCCGACTTGCCCAGGTGGCCCAGGCTGAAGCCCAGGTCCTCCTGGTAGGCGTCCTCCTCGATCTGGTGGGAGGGAAAGGCGTCGGGTGCCAGCTGCCTCCTCAGTCAGCTAGAGGCCCACGCACCCACCCCATCGGCCGGCCCTATTCAGGCGCCTACTGGGCCCCGAGTGCAGTGAGCCTTGCTGGGGCCCCAGCAAGGAAGTCAGGTCCCGTTACTGCTCCCTGAGCTCACAGCTGAGAGGGGCCGTGCGTGTGCGTGTGTGTGGTGTAAGAACTGAAATGGGTTTCACTGATGAAAGGGCATCTGAGCTAGTTCTTGCAGGATCAGTAGGGTGAGGCTCGGGTAACAAGAGCCTGGCAGGGGTGGAGCCTGGGGAAGGGCATGTGTGCGGGGCGTGGGGGGACACGAGACTGGGAGGCCTGCAGGGGTCTGATCCTGAACAGCCTCCAGTGCCTGGGTGGATGGGAAGCCTCGGGGCGAGGGGAGCCGGTGCCGGGTGGATGGGGTGGGGAGAGACTGGAGGCCGGGGTGGGGGGACCAGGGAGGAGGCTAAGGTGTTGTCCCAGATCTGGGGGTGGGGGGCATGGCCACAGGTGGAGAGGAAGGAATGCAGCAGGGAGCGGGGGCAGAGCAGGGTGGGGTCTGACCTCCCCGAAGCTCATGCGGTTGGCCTGCTTCCGGATCTCAGTCAGCCCCAGCCGCTCCTTCATCTTGCGGTACCTGGGGACAGGGCAGGGGGTCAGCTGGGAGGGTGCAAGCCTCTTCCCTTCCCATTCCGTCCCGGCCCGACTGGTCCCCGGGCGCCACCTGCGGCCGCCTCTCTTCTTACGCTGCCCGTCGAGGGGTGCAGGCAGCGGCTTCACCTGCTTCACGGGCGGCGGCTCCTGCCACTTGTCGAACTTGCGCTCGATCTCATCCTTCAGCTCGTAGCCCACCTGGGGAGGACGGGGTGGGGGTCCTGCAGCTGCTCCCTCGGGCCTGTCCTGTCCGCCCGTCCCCCTCGTTCCCACGCGGCCCTGGAGGACCTCGACCCTCTGGGCTCTGCAGGTTTAAGTCGCACCTACCACGCGATGCTCCCACACTGTATCGCAGGCTCAGCCCTCTCCTCTCAATGCTGCGCCCCAAGGCGATGGAGCAGACAGAGCTCCCGCGCCCGCTCCCCCCCCCCCGCCCCAGCTCTCCTCAGGTCAGTAAGTGGCGATGCCCTGGAGTCGGCCACACCCCGAGAGTCCCGCCAGGCTCTCCCTTCAGGAAGGACCCCAAATCGGCCCCCTTTCAGCACCCCCACTGAGGCCAAGCTCTCCCCAGGGTGCGAGAGGCTGCACGTGATCTGCCCCACGCCGCCAGCCTCCTCCGCCTGCAGCTCGCTGCGCTCCAGCCTCTGGCCTGTGCGCCCACTGTTCCCTCTGCTTGAGACGCCCTCCCCCGCATCTACGGGACTCGCCTGCTAACTGCGCTCAGGTCTACGTTAAACCCTCACCTCCTCGGAGGAGCCCTCCCCGAGTTCCAGGTTAATCAGTCTCACCTCGCTCGCCGCCCCCAGTGCCCCGCGTCTGTCTTCCCAGGCTTTACTCAGCACCACTGGACACACCGCAGACCTACCGCTTGTGTCTTCTCGGCCTGCCCCCGGCCAAAATGGAGATGGCACGGAGGCAGGGCTTCTGTCTGTGTGGTTCACTGCTGTACCCCCAGCATCCAAGCCAGTGGTCAGAGAGAGACTGAACCCCTGAACCCACGGTGCCAGGGTGGGTGCTTGGAAAACAATAATGCACAAGACAGAAAACATCTACTCTCCCAGAACAAGTCCGCCAAGGCACGCAGGTTGATGGAATAATTACGTGAACAATGACAGTTCTGGTAGAGGGGACAGATCCTGGTGCAGTAGGCAAATAAATACCTCCCCCTCCCCCAAAGGTGTCCACAACCAACTCTCTGGTCCCTGCGAATGTGTCACTTTACCTGACAAAAGGGACTTTGCAGATGTGACTGGGTTAAGGATCTGGAAACGGGGAGAGGGTGCCTTAGATGATCAGTGTGGACCCAGTGTAATCACTGTGTCCTTAAAAGAGTCAAAAGAGATGTGGAGACAGAAGCAGAGTCAGAGAGAGCTGGGAAGATGCTACGCTGGCTTTGAAGATGGAGGAAGGGGCCACAAGCCAAGGGACGCGGGCGGCCTGTGGAAGCTGCAAGAGGCAGCGGAGCCATCCTCCCCTTGAGCCTCCGGAAGGAATGAACCCTGCCAACCCCTTGATTTCAGGCCAGGGAACCCGCCGTGGTCTTCTGACCTACCCAACTCGAAGACAGTAACCCTGTGTTGCTTTAGGCCACTAAGCTTGTGGTTAATCTGTCACAGCAGCAGCAACGGGAAACTCGTACAGAAGGGGGAGGGGACGCTGACCTCGGTAGGGGCCACGACCAACACCCCCGCCTCTGCCCTGTTAGGACAGCGCTCGCTGTGCTGGGTCCTCTATTGACAGCTCTCCCTGAGACAGACCACATACCACCCGGACAGACGCCGCCCGCCCCTCACCTTCCCCTCCGTGCTCTCATGGAAACTGTCCACTCGGGCTGCCAGCGTGCACTTGGCAGCCACCAGCCGGGCCGCCTTCCGCCGGAGATCCTGCAGTCATGAACAGGAAGGCAGAGTCAGCGTGCGGATGCAATCAGGTGGCAGCGTTTCCACAACTCTAGCCCCCGTCTCCATTTCTGCCTGTCAGCATTTCACCTTTACCGCTATCGCCTTACTGTAATAACGTGTTACAGTAACAAATCATCATTGTCGGTGATAACGATAACCTACTTCCCCGTTTGCACAGAAGGCTGAATCGCATTACAACAGATGGAAGATTATCAAATACGGAGAAAATACCTACATTAAAATTTAAAACATCCATCTGTGTATCACCTAAAATGGTGTCATGTGCCACAAAAGGTAGGGGCCGGGTTCTGAGAAACACCACGATGGTACCTGTAACACCCACAGCCCCAAGTCTTGGTGACCAGTAGTAATGATAATGGTAGCAATAATAATAAAGAGAAGAATAACAGTAATAATAATAACATAGTAAGCCAGCAGCAGCTAGGCGTAGAGGGGAATTTAACCCTGTCCTAAGAAGTCTGGCCTTGGCCCTGGCTCCTGGGTGGTGATCTGTGCTGGCAGGGGCCTGGGTAAGCCAGGGAACAGCGCTGTGACTTAGGGTGGGGTCTCTGAGTCACGGGGTCCCAGCCATGTCTGTGCCCCCGAGCCTCGGCAGAGACTGAGCCCCGAGGACCCTGCCCTCGTGCCTCCCCTCAGCCAGCGTTACTCTGGGTGCGCTCACTGTGATAAACCGTAGCCCTGGGTGGATCGGCTCAAGGTGAGCTCTCTGAGTCCTTCTAGTGGCCACTGAACCTGACCGTGGTCTTGGGAACCCCGAACTCACAAGCTTAACGCTTCCGTTGCTTTGTACGTGCGAGGCCTGATGTCAAGGCGTTTCGTACGAGTGAGTCCTCGTCTCGACCCCATGAAGCAGGTTCAGTTCACCCCACTTACACACGGGGAGCCTGAGGGGGATCAGAACTCCAGCCTGGCCTGTCAGCTCCAGCGTCCTTGTTCGTACACCCTGCGCGGCCCGTCCTCCAGGGTCCTGACCCCTGGCGTCAGCAGAGACCCCTGGGACCCGAGGAGCAGCAGGGGGAGGGGGTGCCCTTTGGGGCACAGCATAAGGTTCCAAGGGGGGTGGGACTCACCGGGGGCAGGGACTGCACGATGTCGCTGTGGTAGATGTAGCCGGTGTGGGGCAGCACTGAGGTGGATGAGAAGCCGGACAGCGTCTTGCGCTGGGCCCCGAGCAGCATGATGTTGCAGGCGGGCATCTTGGAGAGGTTGGTCAGGCCGCCGGCCACCCCTGCAGCGGGACAGAGGGAGGGAGGGGCTCAGAAGGACCGGGGGGATTTGTCTGGGGCTCACCGTGCGCTGCACCTTCACAGGAGTTTCTGGTTGGAGCCCTGAGGCGGCCCCACCAAGGAGGACCGACGTGTCCCGCCTCCGAGAGGGGTTTGGAGGAGGCTCAGAGAGGTGAAGCAACCTGCTAGAGGTGCACAGTGAGCAGACTGGCCCAACAGGAACCTGACCCAAGTCTGCGAAGCCACACAGGCCCTGCTCTGGCCTCAGAGTGGTTTTCACCGCGCTGTGGGCTCGCGGCAACAGGGCCTGGGTGTCAATCACCTCTGGGTTCCCTTGAGCGAGTCTGCGGGCATGGGGGAGGGGAAGAGGAGCTGCAGGTAAATACTGTAAGTAGTTCTACCTCTGAGGTGGGATTGCTGTGTGCAGGGCCCTGTGCTGGGCGCTTTCAAGGATTAGGTAAATGGTCTCATCACACACACGAGTCCTTGAAACAAGCCTCCAACACCCGTGCGGGAGCAGAACAGCCCCCATGGTCACTGACATCACCATCCCCGGAACCTGCGACTACAGTGCCACATGCAGCCAAAGGGACTCTGCAGATACGGGCAAGTTAAGGACCCCGAGAAGGGGAGATTATCCTGGAGGATCCTGGTGGGCTCAATGTAATCAGGAGGGTCCTTAAAAGTGGGAGAGAAAAGCAAAGTCAGAGTGGCACGAGAGGAGACTTTCAAGACAGAGGAAGGAGCCACAAGCCAAGGGATGCAGGTGCCCCTGAAGCTGGAAAAGGCAGGGAACGGCTTCCTCCCCTGACCCACCATAGAGGACCACAGCCCTGCCGACACTTTCATTCTAGCCCCGTGAGGCCCACGGTGGACTTCTGACCTCCACAGCTGTCAGATGATAAACTGCGTCGTTCAAGCCTCTTGGTTCGTGGTCATTTGTTACAGCAGTCACAGGAAACTAGCACAACCCCCAATCGCCACTAGGGAAACTGAGGCACGTGACACCGTTTGCCCAAAGACGTGAGGTCAGCGAGGGGGGAAGCAGGATCCACACCCGAGCTTGTCCTTCCCCGACACCACTGCTTCTACCTGCAACTCTGCACACACCTGCCCCCAAGACTGTGTTCTGCGCTGAACTGTGTCCCCGCCCCGAGTTCACACATTGAAGTCCTAGCCCTCCCCTCCCCACACCTCAGAATGTGACTGTATTTGGAGACAGGGTCTTTAAAGAGGTGATCAGGGACTTCCCTGGTGGCGCAGTGGTTAAGACTCAGCACTCCCAATGCAGGGGGCCCAGGTTCGATCCCTGATCAGGGAACTAGATCCCACATGCAAGCTGCAACTAAGGAGCTGGCGAGCCGCAACTAAGGAGCCCGCCTGCCACAACTAAGGAGCCCGCCTGCCACAACTAAGACCCAGCGCGACCAAATTAAAAAAACAAAAACAAAACAGGTGATCAAGGTGAAATGAGGTCACAGGATGGGCCCTAATCCAATAGGACTGGTGTCCTTACGAGAGGAAACTAGGACACAGTCCCACATGGAGGGAAGACCACATGAGGACGTAGTGAAAAGGTGGCCGTCTACACACCAAGGAGAGAGGCTCTCAGAAGGAACCAGCCCTGCTGACACCTGATCTCAGTCTCCCAGCCTCCAGACTGTGAGAGGATAAACCTCAGTTGTTGAAGCCCCCCAGTCTATGGTACTTTGTTACAGCAGCCTGAACTGACGAATACGGCTGCTTTATCAAACTCCCCGGGGAAATGTTTCTCGGTTGAAGGGGCCAGGAGCCTGAGGGGGCACTCTGAGGCCGCAGAGAGCCCCCGAGGAGGAAGGCACCCACTGCCAGGACCAGTGCCCCCGTCTTGTGGAGATACTGAGGCTCAGAGAGCTGACTTTACTACTGCCAGGCGGCCCTGTGGGCCCACGGCAGAGCTGGGAGCTGCTGGGATGCCCAGCATTTCCACCAGCCACGCCGCCTCTCCCCTTTGCGGCTTCTCTGGCCCCAGCTCTGCTGGGGATGCGGGCGCTGACCAGGCTCAGGGGCCCCATCCTTTCTCCATGTCTGTGTGAAGAGCAAGCTGGCCGACCTCTGTGGTCTCCAGGAGAGATGAGAGGGTGGGGGCGAGGGGACACGGTCCTGGGGCCCCAGGGCCAAATCCCCATTTTACAGAAGAGGAACAGACTTGCCCAAGGTCACATGGCCCACGGGGCCGTCACTGCATGGGGACGGGCCTCACCCATGATCTTGGCGGCGGTGGACGCCCCGATGATGATGGAGAGGTTGGGCGCGATGAAGGACATGCGCGACTCCACGTACTCATAGATTCGGTGCTTGGAGGCGTTGAGCTCCAGCGCCATGTCACAGGCCTCCTCCAGCCGTTCCAGCTCCTCCTCCGACAGCTGCTGCCTGCAGGCAGGGGGCGAGGTGGGGGTGAGGCTGGGACGGACCCGACCTTCGAGCTTCAGCGTGTCCCGTCTGCGTGGCCCGGGAGCCCGCGTCCTCCCAGCTGCGTGTGTGTGCACACACGTGTGTGCAGCTTCACCACAGGTACCGCTCCTGCCGGCCCTGAGGCCTGGAAGCCAGGGCTGCCGGGAACCAGTCCGCGGTGCCACTGCACTGCCCCGTCCTGTCTCCGTCTGTGGGAGGCGCCCCTGCCCAGGCCATGCCAGAGCCGGGCCTCTGCAGGCGCTCCCTCTTCCTGAAACGCTCTCCCGCCGAGGCCCCCCACACCCTGCAGGCCTCAGCCCTGCTGGCCACCCCGGCCCACCACCCTGCCGCTTCCCTCGGAGCACGGTCACCGCTGCGATCAACCATTCCAGAGCTCTGCTCTGCGGTGACAAATGGCCCCTTCTCCTAGGCGCAGCACGGACGCCAGAGGGGCAGGTGGAGAGCCGGCATTCACCCTAGCAAGGGGATGACACGCCAGAGACGGACACTTCTAATTACGGGCCTGCCCCTTGCCTCACCCGCGAAACCCTGGGCGAGGCTGGCTTCTCATGCCCGGGGAGCCCCGAGCCCAGCACGGTGCCTGGCTTGCGAGCTGAAGTGCCCTATCCCCCTGAGACTGACAGCCATGCCGCTGGCCCAGACCGCTGTGCACCATCAGAGGGGCCCCTGTGCGCACCCCTGGGTGGTGGAGGCAGTGACGCTGACGACCATGATAGTGGCATTGGTCAGGATCTGCTGCAGGTTCTCGTTGTTCTTGCACTTGTCCAGGCTGTTGCCCAGCTCCTGGGGGGCGAGAGGGCAGGACAGGGGCCTGGGACTCAGGAAGCTCTAGAACCTCTCGTGCTCCTGCACCCACCCCATCTGTACCCGGGGCACTCCCCTGCCTCCCCCCACTCCTGGCAACTCCGCTGCTCAAAGGATCCGCACCGTCTGCCCCGTGCGGGCTGACCCGGAAGCAGAGCTGAGCAGACGGGCCACCCAGGGAAGACCCGCTGCCGCCACAGGCCTGCAGCCCATGGCCACTCAGAGTGCGGGTCTGACCGCGTCACTTCCCTGGGTGGGCATCCCCTGCCACCGCCCCCATCCGCCCCTGGACTCATGGGGGGCCCTGCGCACTGGTGAGCCCGCCTTCACTTTCCCTTAAGACCCAGAGCCTCTGCAATCCGCCTCCTCGCCTCCTCTCGTTCCCTGAATGCTCCAGGGCCTGTTGCCGTCTCGGGGTCTTGGCACTTAGGACTGCTTCCCCGAGTCTCATCCCGTCTCCAGCCAAAGGCTGAGCGAGGGGAACCTTCCCCTTAAACCTGGGGGTCTGAGAGCAGGGCCCGCCGCCCCTTCACATTAGTGGCCGTCGGGGAGCCCACTTCTTCCCATTTACCTTGACGGTGCGGATGTAATCGAGTGCATTGGGGACCAGAGACTCCAGTTCGGGGAATCGCTTCGAGTACTTATCCCGGATGAACTTATGGATGATGTCTAAGGGGGACAGGGCGGAGAGGAGCCCAATGAGGGGCAGGCAGACTCTGCTGGCTCTCCCAGTACCCATTTCCCCTTCTTCCTTCAGTAGCAAAACCCCTAATTATAGCTGGGCTCACGGACACGCAGCACAAAGCTACATTTCCCAGCTGCCCTTACGGCTGGATGCAGCCATGGGGGTTAGTTCTGATCTACAAGATGTGAGCTGAAGTCACATGTGCAACTTCCAGGCCACTCCCTCAAAGGAAAAAAATGTGCCCTCCTCTTCTCTCCCATATTTTTGCTGATGAGGATGTGGAGGTGATGGCTGGAGGTGGGCAGTCACCTTGTACCATGAAACAGATGGCAGATCAGTGAGACAGAAAGAGCCTGGACTCCTCATCCAGACTTTCATATGAGAGGAAAATATGCTTCCTTCTCACGTAACCACTTGTTACAGCAGCTGAACCTGGATTCCAGCTGATACAGGGGCTTGGGAGCAGTACCCTGGGAAAGGCCAGCAGGGAAGACGGCCTGTGATCCTGCCTGCCCCTCCCTTGGGGATGGGAGGAGGTTGTGGGGGACACCGGGCAGGGCTGTCTCTGCTTGCCCTTCCCGGCACTCACTCAGCTCGTTCTCGATCTCCACCGTCAGGTTGTTGGCGTCCACAATGACCCGGTACTCGGGGGCCGCCTCCACCGGTCCCATCACTGTGAGGATGAGAAAGAGCCTGGTGTGGGTGTGTGTCTATGCACCCACCCCGTTCCAGATCCCACAGCTCAGGGAGACTGGGGATGCAGCTGGAGGGGAGCAGGGAGGGGCTGAAGAGGAAACTGGGGGGCAGGTTTGCATATCTGCAAACCTCCCATCTCTCCCTCCAGGCCAGTCTAGACTTGACCCCATCTCGCCCTGGACCTAAACCCTCCTGGGGCTCACCACACCCTTAGACTAACAGCCCAGCTACCCAGAGTGACGTTTGAGGCCTCCCAAAAGGCTGGAAGCTCTGCGAGGACAAGTACTGGGTCTGTTTCCTGTGGCTGCACCCCGATGCGCCTGGCCCACTGCAGTCGCTCCGTGGACACTTGCTGACTCAGTGACTCCAGTCTGGTCTCTGCTCCTTCCTGGCCCCATCCTCTCATCACACCCCCGCTTTATTTCATTCCAGCCATTAAAGGACTGATTACAGTGCCCTGAACACTTGGCCTGCTTCACTCTTCTCTTGGCCTTTGAATATGCTGTTCCCTCTCCCTGGTACATCCCTTCCTCGTGTCTGTTTCTGGAAAACCCTTCAAGCGCTAATAATAACAACGATAATGACAACGATGACAGTATTATCACGAGCAACTGACACAGACAGGACTTACTGGGCATACGATACTGTTATAAGTGCCTTACGGGCATTAACTTTTATCCACAACCAGCCAGGGAGGTTGGTGTTAAATCAGGCCAACGTTGCAGAGAAGGAAACGGAGGGACTCGGCCTGATGGCACAGAGCCAGCAGATGGCAGCGCTGAGATCTGACTCCCGAGTCTGCGCTCCGAATCCTGATGCTCAAATGCCTCCACGTCCTCAAGGCTCACAAGGCGCCTAAGAACCCCTCCCGCACCTTTCAGGAGGGGTCAGCTGTCTCTCTGTGCTCTGCCACACTCCTGCCACATCCATTAGACACCGTCACCACCCAGGTTGAGGTGTTTCATGTCCACCTTCCCCACCAGACATGGGGTGTGATTGGGTCTGACTTAAAATCCCCGAGCCTGGCCCACACCAGGAAATGTCACTTTTATGATTCCCCATGACTCCCTGGCCTGGCATTTGAAACCCCGCAGGGTCTGGTGCCCTGCCAGCCTCCCCACCACTATGGATGTCCAAGGTTTTGCAGGTGCAGCTCTCTTTCCCTGGGCGCACCCCCCCGCCACCCCATTCTTGGCCTGTCATGTGTATTCATGCTTCAAAGTCCAGCTGAGACATCAGTTCTTCCCTGACCGTGGCAGGGTCAGCCAGCTCCTCCTGTGGCTCCCGAGTGTCCTGGGCTCCCTCCACCCCAGCAGGCGCCGCCCACCAGTAACTGCTCCGCCAGCCCCTGAGCGTTCTGAGAGCAGAGGCCCACACAGGCCTGGCCCGCAGGGCGCCTCACGAAAACTTTAAAGAAAGTTTTAAAGGTTTCAAGTTTAATCCTCGTGGTGCAGTGGTTAAGAATCCACCTGCCAATGCAGGGGACACGGGTTCCAGCCCTGGTCCAGGAAGATCCCTCACGTCGTGGAGCAACAAAGCCCGTGCGCCACAACTACTGAGCCTGCGCTCTACAGCCCACGAGCTACAGCTACTGAGCCCGTGTGCCACAACTACTTAAGCCCGCGCGCCTAGAGCCTGTGCTCCACAACAAGAGAAGCCACCGCAATGAGAAGCCCGCGCACCGCAACTAGAGAGAAAGCCTGCGCGCAGCAACAAAGACCAAACGCAGCCGACAAGTTAATTAATGAATTAATTTTTTAAAAAAGAAACGATGGAGCAAGTAAGTCTCCCTGAAACTCTGCTCTGACTATACCATTCCTGTGCCAAAAAGCTTCCCTTGGCTTCCCACTGCCTAGGAATTCAAATCAAGAGCCACAGCTTTCCAAGAAAAACAGGGGTGATGACAGCACTGTCCTCTTAGAGCTGGTCTGAACACTCAAGAGACAACCCAGCTTTGCCCAGAGTTAGAAGTGAGGAGAGATTTTAATAACTTTTATGGATACTTTTTTATATTTTCATGGTTACTTTCTATTTAACAAATGACACCAGTTTTCCATCCACAGTAGCAATATCTTTCCTTCTTGCGTAAACTGAAGGAAAAAGTATGTGGATTTAAAAATGTGAAATAGGGCTTCCCTGGTGGCGTAGTGGTTGAGAGTCTGCCTGCCGATGCAGGGGACAGGGGTTCGTGCCCCGGTCCGGGAAGATCCCACATGCCGCGGAGCGGCTGGGCCCCTGAGCCATGGCCGCTGAGCCTGCACGTCCGGAGCCTGTGCTCCGCAGCGGAAGAGGCCACAGCAGTGAGAGGCCCGTGTACCGCAAAAAAAAAAAAAAGTGAAATAATAAGTGTTTTACAGGTGTGGCAAAACTCTATAACTGATCACGTTATCAGTAAAGTTTGGGAAGCCTTGAGATAAATCCTATCACAATTAGCCAGCGCTCAGCACAGAGCAAGGACTTAAGAAGTGTCAGCTTTAGGGGCTTCCCTGGTGGTCCAGTGGTTAGGACTCTGCGCTTCCACTGCAGGGGGCCTGGGTCTGATGCCTGGCCGGGGAATTAAGATCCCGTATGCTGTGCAGCACGGGCAAAAAAGAAAAAAGAAAACTTAGAAAGAAGTTATCAGCTTTGGAATGCAGTACACTCTTAGGAGAGAAGGGGACTGGGCTGGGATGGAAGAGAAGAAGAGGGCTCTGGCAAAGGGTGACGGGAAGGGCCAACTTCCAAAGTCACCAGCAGCAAAGGAGCCAAGGGGCCTGGCCGGAGCAGAGCCGGGGCGGGCGAGGGCGAGGGCGACGGGGAGGGAGAAGTACCTTCCGAAGCTTTGGCCTGCTTGCTGATATACTCCTCAATCTTCAGCATGATCTCAGCGAACTGTCCGGGGAGGAGCGGAGAGTCAGAAGCCGGGACTCTCCAGGCAAAGGAGCTGCTGCCCGTGTCACCCCCCAGGAGCTCCTCTCACCATCTTGCTGTCCCACAGCTTGGCGATGCTCTTGACCGAATCTCCGGAAAGATCCAGCTGGGTCTCCTCCTGCACATCCTCGATCGCCGGCTCCTCCTCTTCCTCCCCGTAGCTTCCTCCTTCCTCCTCTTCTGCCGCCTCCTCGAGGTCAGCTAGCAGCTCGTCGGCCAGAGACATCCCGAGGCCTGCGGGCAGGGCGAGCGGGATTCCCTCTCATTACTGGGACAGGCCTCCCCTGCCAGGTGGCCCTGGTCCTTCTTGATCAACCTCACCAGCATGCAGGCTCCACAAGGACAGGTACACTCTTCTGCTTTTTTCTCTAGCTCCTAACTGTGCCTGACACATAACAGATGCTCAGGGAACGCCTGCTGAATGAATCCATGAAACCACTTCCCAGGACCAGATGGTCTCCAGTCATAACTCACACTACCCACCCTTCTCACCTTCACTTCACTGGACAGGACACTGCACACCCCTCACACCACCACTTCGCTAAGACTTAAAAGATACATCCCCTCCCTTGATAAGACCTCTCCTCACATCCTTTCCTTCCCCCACCAGCAGAGGCCCCTCCCCACCAACTGTTGGGCCCCAAATGGGTGACAGACATCCTGATCTCCTCAGCCATCAGGACAACCAGGCAGGGCCTAAAATGTCTAGAGCCTCCAGGCCAATCACCTCGGGCTATGAGCAGCTCCTACCCCCAGGTGCTGTACAAATATTAGTATTTTCGGTGAATCCCACACAGTGGAAAAGGCTGCAAAGGCTGCGAAGCACTACTCTACAAGGTACAATCCCCACCACTCTGTCCTCCCCAGTGCTTTTTTTTTATTATTAAAATAAGAAACGCTCCCTCTTCCTGTTCTCCTCTTTCAATAAGACAAATGTAGGGGGAAGGGGGGGAGAAATAAATGTGAGACTGGGATGGACATATACACACTACTATGTATAAAATAGATAACTAATAAGAACCTGCTGTATAGCAAAGGGACCTCTACCCAATACTCTGTAAGGACCTATATGGAAAAACAATCTAAAAAAGAGCGAATATATGTATATGTATAACTGATTCACTTTGCCATACAGCAGAAAGTAACACAGCATTGAAGACCAACTATACTCCAATAAAAATTTTTAAAAAAAAGACAAATGCAACATGTACACACTACTATATAAAAAACAGATAACCGATAAGTACCTACTGTACAGCACAGGGAACTATACTCAGTGTTTTGTAATAACCTATAAGGGAAAAAAGTCTGAAAAAGAACAGATAAGTATATACGTATATGTATAACTGAATCACTTTGCTGTGCACCTGAAACTAACACAACACTGTAAACCAACTATACTTCAATAAAAAAATGAAATTAAAAAAGAACTTAAAAAACAGGGGAATTCCCTGACGGTCCAGTGGTTAGGACTTGGTGCTTTCGCTACTGTGGCCCCGGGTTCAATCCCTGGTTGGGGAATTAAGATCCTGCAAGCTGCGTGGTGCAGCCAAACGAATAAAGAAATAAAATAAAATTTACGGAAAGACAAACGGAGGCTGCAAACCTCCATGTCCCCAGAGGCTAAGTGGGTGACATAAATGAGAAGCAGGCTGGGGGTTGGGCAACTGGGGAAGTGGAGCCTGGAGAGCTAGGGAATCATGCCTGATGTGAGAGCTCAGCCGATGCGACGCTTCAGACACGCCCTGCCAGTGGGAACATAGGCTCCATGTTGCCAGGTTTTCTAATTTTTTTCAAGAAAAGTAAGAGAGTCAGAATTTTTATGTGTAACCTCCCAGTCTGAAAAGTTTCTTTTTAAGTGGCTAATTTAAACAGACCACCATGGCAAAGGCCAAACTAAACGACTACAGGAAAGATTTGGCCCTTGAGCTGCCGGTTTAGGACCCCTGGATGTTCGGTGTCTCTGAGCTCAGTCTCCACTCATACCCTCCTTTCTCCCTAAGATGCAATGTCCCCTTATACTCACTTCTCTTTATAAGACACAGCTTTTCCTTGTAAACACACCCATGTTATCTCACACACACCTTTCTCTAAAACTCTCGTTACTCTTGCTTTCTCTAAATAAGAGGAACTCGTCCTTTATTGGACATGATCTGCTCTCATACATTAGACTCAAGTATCTCTTCTTATCCTCTCTTCTCTGTTTCCCCACTAAACTGTAAGCAAAACCAGGGGTGGTTATCTGTTCACCGTTATATCTCCACCATCTAGCAGAATCTCTAGCACGTTGTAGGTATACAAGAAATATTGGGCAAATGAATGAATGAACTTTATTTAATCCTTATACCAACCACATTATGGTTTCCTTTCTCCGGCTCTCTGGATATATTATTTTTTCATCCCAAAGGTAAGGGCACAAATACTATTTCTTGCAGCGTGGGTTATCTCTGACCCTGAGACTAGATGCTATCTTGCTGTTAAACATCCTATGAACCCTTCAGTTCACTTCAACACTTGAGATTCTCTAAATTTCTAACATTTTGTTTAATGTCCATCTTCCCCATTAAGCTTAAATTTGTAAGGAAAGAGGGACCGTGTCCATTTTGTTCATTGCACACTATTTCCATCGCCCGGCGCAGCACGTGGCACGGATTAGGTACCACGACTTCGCTTGATGCCAGCCAACCTCTCCAGCCTCAGCCCCCGCCACTATTCCCCATGCCTCTGAATCCTTCTCACACTTTTTTCGCTTACCAACTTCTTCCCCTCACTTTAGGTCTTCATTTCCTCCCTTTTTACCAGCTCAACACCTCTTCATCCTTCAGTTCTCATATTCCAGCTCCCTGACCCACGCACCCCACTCTAGAGTAGATAAGTTGCTTGGTGATATACACCCCGCACGCCCTGTGTGTACCCTAAAGCACTTCACACATTTGTGGTTATTTAAGTAATTACTTGATTAAGCCTGTCTCCCCAGGCACCATGCAAAGCGCTAATAGGGCCGGGAACGATTTTTTGCTGCCGCTACATCCCCAGAGCCTTAACAATGTAGGAGCATTTGAGACCTTTGGTTAGTCGGTCTACGAAGGCCCGCCTTTCTCCTTACACACTTCCTCCCCCAGACCCAGGAAGCCAACCTCCCGCCCTTCCCTCGTCTCCATCACACTCACCTCTTCTCTTCTCGCACGACGGTTTCTAAGAAATTAGCTTCCCAGCAGCGGTCGACGCTCACTGATGACGTTTCAACCATGCGCCGTCGTCGAAGCAAAGCTGCGCTCTGATTGGCCCCTGCACCGCGTCTTTCCTGGCTGCGTTTGGAACAACAACTTTATTAGCACCTGCCGCTAGGCGGAGAAGGGATGATCCGGAGAGAAGAGGCGCTTTATCCGGCTCACGCCCGTTGTGGACTGAGCCTGATAAGCGGAGAATCGCCATAATCTGACGACAGGGTGTCAAGACAAGAATAAAGTCGAGGGCAACTCAGACCACTGGTGGAGGAGTTCGACGAGAAAGCAAGGCTTTCAGCCAGGAGTCGAGGTGGAGGTGGAGGGGTTGGGGAGCGGAGCCGGAAATAGGAAACTACAGCTCCCAGAAGGCGTAGCGGCAAAGGTCCCGGATGCTGGGGTCGTGAAGCCTGATGGGAAAGGTAGTTTTGCGAGCGACTTAACCTAGAGGTTAGCGAGGTTGGAAGTTCTGAGGCCCGGGGCCCCCGGAGTCGGAGAGAGATGGAACTGGAGCAGAGAGAAGGGTGAGTGGATTTGGGGGAAACTACGAATCCCAAAAGACATTGCGGCTGCATAAGAGCGGTCTTCTGCGCGGAGGACTGACGGGGATTGCAGTTCCTGCAACTCCTTTGGCTTATAACTCTTGTAGGGACTGGGGTCCGTACTCGAGCATCCTGGGGGAAAAGGCTACGGGTCTAGACTCCTGGATCTGACAGGCGAGGCGGTTGGAGGTCAGGACTCCTGGGTCTGAGTGAGGGCTTGGGGGGCTTGAACTCCCCGTGGAACTCGGGGAAGAAGGGGCTGGAAGTCTGGACTCCTTGATACTGGGAAGCGGGTGCTGGGGCCCTGGACTCCTGGATCCTGGGAGGAAGGGGTCGGGGCTCGAACTCTTCTGGATCCTGGGAATGGTGGGCTGGGGGCCTCGGACTCCTGCATCAGAGAGAGGAGGGGTCTGGGAGTTGGGCTTCTGGTCTGTGGGAGGAGGGACTAAGGGCTAGGTATTCAGGGTCCCTGAACCCACTGACTCTACAGGACCATGGCAGCTGTGGGCTTTGAAGAGTTCTCAGCGCCGCCAGGCTCAGAGTTGGCGCTGCCTCCTTTGTTCGGTGGTCACATCCTGGAGAGCGAGCTTGAGACAGAAGTGGAGTTTGTGTCTGGGGGTCTGGGTGGCTCCGGGCTCCGGGAGCGAGATGAAGAGGAAGAGGCAGCCCGGGGCCGGCGGCGGCGCCAGCGGGAACTAAACCGCAGGAAGTACCAGGCGCTAGGTCGACGCTGCCGGGAGATCGAGCAGGTAGGTGAGTGTGGATTCCCCTGTTTTGGGGTCCCCTGGCCTCTATTACCAATCCTTCCCAGTCTCTGCCTGTCTAGATGCCCAGCCTTCCTTGCCCGGCTGAATGAATTTTCCATTCACTTATTCATTCATTATTATTTAGCACCTATTATATGTCAGGCACTGTGCAAGGCACCTTGGAGAGATGTCTCCTCTAGGAGCATCATCTGACAACCCAGATCAGCTCACTGATGTTTCACAGGTGCCTCTCTTGCTGCCCACCGATCAAACTTTTCAAATCTCCCATACCCTTGACATCATTCACTCCTGTCCTGTGTCCTGCCTCTCAGATCTCTCTGGGGTCCTTCTCCTCCCCTCCATCCCCACGCCTCTGCCCAGCCTCAGGTTCTTTCTGCTGAATCACTGCATTAGCCTCCTTGGTGAGAATGAGGATGGAGCAGTAAGCAGGGCCCAGATCTTGAAAGGCCACAAACACCAGAGCAAGAGCTTTGGATTTTTTTTTTTTTTTTTTTGAGAGTGATGGGGAGCTATCAAAAGGTTTCAAACAGGGGAGGGACAGGGTCAGTGCTTGAAAGACTCTCTGAATTTGGCTGGACTCTTTTGCTAGGGCCGCTGTATCAAGAACCACAAACGGATGGCTAAGTAATAGAAATGTACTGCCTCACGGTTCTGGAGACTAGAAGTCTGGGATCAAGGTGTCAGCGGGGTTGGTTCATCCGGAGGGCTGTGAGGGAGAATCTGTTATCTGTTCTAGGCATCCTCCCTAGCTTCTGGTGGTTTGCTGGAGATCTTTTGTGTTCCTTGCTTGTAGATCTCTGCTTTCATCTTCCCGTGCTTGTGTGTGTGTGTATATCCCAATTTCTTTTAATAAGGATGCCACCAGTCATATTGGGTTAAGGCCAATCACCTCATTTAACTTGATTACCTTTGTGAAGACCCTGTGTCCAAATACGGTCACATTCTGAGGCACTGGGAGTTAGGACTCCAACACACCTTTTTTGGGGGGACACCATCCAACCTGTAACAACGCTGGTGGGGGAGTTCTGGAAGGGGGCTGGTGTAGTGGCCCAGGCAGGAGAGGAGAAGGCTTGAGCTAGGGTAGAAGTCAAGGAGAGGAAGAGAGAGAGACGACTTAGAGAACTAATAAGGAGGTGAGGTTTGAATCAAGTCTTAGATTAAGTAGGAACACGTCAAGCTGGAGGGAAAGGTACGTTTAGGACTCTGTGTGGCGTAGGGCTTACTCAGGATTGGAGAGCTGTCTGGTCTGATGGGGACGCTGGGGAGGGGACTCGAATGCCAGGCTGAGGGCAGTGGGCTTGGAGCAGGTCAGCTCCAGGCATTGAAGTATATTCCCCCGAAGCTGCACAGAGGCTGAACCTATGCGTACCCTGTGGCCAGCTGTCCCAGTCCTCCCTACGGACCCAGCAGACAGACATACAGACACACACCTGATGACAGTTAACCTGATGACGTCCCTAGCAGTACTGTTTGGTGTTTTTTGTTTTGGTTTGTTTGTTTGTGTGGCCTGTGGGATCTGAGTTCCCCAACCAGGGATCAAACTTGCGTCCCCTGCAGTGGGAGCGTGGAGTCTTAACCGCTGGACCACCAGGGAAGTCCCTGCAGCACTCTGTAATATGGTTTTATGTACGTGTTAATATAAACTTACATAATATACATAAACCAGATACTATGTATCTTTTACCAGGTAGCTTTTGCCTCCGCTTCATCCTTCAGCTCACCCCAACCTCTCTTCTCTCCATGACCACTCCTCTCTCTTCTCCCCCCACCACCCCGTGATTTCACGACTCCTCACGTCACTGTGTGTTCACAGGGTCTGACAGCAAGGGTGGTGCTGTCAGAGCAAGCACTCTCACCTGTGAGCACCCACTGCGTGCCAGGCCTGCTCTGGGGGCTTTACGCAGGGACATCTAGGAACTCTTTCAGCACCCCCCAAGCAGCAGGCATCCTGAGCCCTTTTTAACAGATGGATGCTGGGGTCCAAAGAGACTCAACCATTTGCTCAAATGGAGTTGCATTTGAGCCTCTGCTCTTAGCTCCCCCCGTCCCCCGCCAGGAATACGTTATTATTATTCTCCTTTTACCAGTGCAGAAACCTGAGGCTCAGAGAAGTTAAGTAACTTGCCCTAGGTCACAGAGCTGAGAAGTGGCAGGCTGGGATTCAAACCCAGGTCTTTCTGGCGCAGGAGCAGAACATACTCCTTCACGCTTGGGCACACATCTCCTCTGATGACCTTCACTAAAGTGGCCACCTCCTGCCCTTGTCTCCAGCATATCTACCAGTTTGGTGTCCTTCAAGCACTTTATCACTAGGTGAAGTCATCTGTTTAACAGTATTTAGGGAGCACCCCCTCTGCCAGGGTCTGCTCAAGGCACCGGGGACAGAGGCACAAATCCTGGTCCTTTGGGGCTTCTGTTCTGTTGGGGGAGACGGAGAGTGAGAACATTGCATAGAGAGAGAGGCTATAGGCGATGGAAAAGTGGAGCTGAGAGGGCGGGGGGGGGGGGGGGACGCTCGGGTGTGGGAAGTGGGGGAGGGGCTGCTGCAATTAACGAGAGGTCTGAGCAGGTAGCCTTTGAGTGCAGCCTTTGAGAGAGCTAGGCAGGCACCTGGGGAAGAGCACGTGGAAAGCCCCCAGGACAGGACGGTGTCAGGGGACTCAAGCGTGAGCTTGGAGGCCAGTGTGAGCAGCGTGGATGAGGGAGAGAAGCAAGAGAGGCAGTGAGGAGGGGGAAGGAGCAGGCCCTGGGGGCCCCGGGATGGCCCTGGGCCAGTCGCCCTCCAGCTGGGCCCCATTCACCACGTGTTGAGCATGCGGAGTCCGGCTGACCTGTGTTTTCTCCCACCTCCCCGCAGGTGAACGAGCGGGTCCTGAACAGGCTCCATCAGGTACAGAGGATAACTCGGAGACTCCAGCAGGAGCGGAGGTAACCCCTTGCACACCTGCTCTGGGCCTGCATCGCTTGCCTCTGCTCCCCAACCCCTGTCACCACCACCTTGGGCCTTGGAAGGAAGCTGAGCCCTGGGCCTTGGGGGAGAGGTGTGCTCCCTTTGTATGGAGTGCAGCGGAAGGCAGGAGACCAGACTTAGGGCCACAGACTCAGCTTCGAGCGCCGTTCTGCTGTGTGACTCAGGGCAAGCCACGTCCCCTCTCTGAGCCCCAGTTCCCCGTCAACTAAGGGTTAACACTGAGATCACAAGGCTGCTGAGGGTTAAATGGGAGCCCACAGGGGACGAGCTCAGCTGAGCCTCCCGCCTCGGATCACTGCAACCCGGATGGGGAGTGAGCTCTGGGGCCGGCCCGCCACTCCACTGGGTCCCCACCTCCCTGAAACGTGGAGAACAGGCCTCATGACAGAGTCTCCATGATGCCGAGACCCCCGGTCAGTCCCCAGCCCTCCACTTACCTGACCCAGTGGATACACCCTCTTCTTTGAAGCACTTTCTTGGCCAGGTCACTCATCTGCCTCAGTTTCCCCTCCTCCCAGCCGTTGATTCTTGCCTCTTTGCTGGTTCATTCACTTCCCCAAACCCTGAACCTGCAGTAGCCAGGGCTCAGCTCCTGGGTCCTCCTCTTGTCCACACCTGTGCTGTCCAGGATGCCAGCTGCAGGTGGTGACTTTATTTTACATTGAAGTGGAATTTTAACATTCATTAAAATAAATTTCAATTCATTCAAATGAAATTGAAAATTCAGTTCCTCAGTGGTCACAGGCCAAGTTTATTAAGACGAAGTGAAATTGGAAATTCACTCCCTCAGTTGCACGAGCCTCATTTCATGTGCTTGGTAGCCACGTGGTTCGATTTTCATCTGAATTAACTAAAATCAAGCGAAATTTAAAATTTCCATTCCTCAGTCACTCTCGCCACGTGGCAGGCGCTCAAGGATGGTGACAGATGATCAGTGGCTTCCGTGGTGGATAGCACAGAGAGGACACCTGATACCTACTTGTAGAATAAGAGACTGTGCGCGTGAAACGCTCCACCCAGGCGCTGGCTTACGGGGACCATCTAATCAGAGCTTAAAACAAACAAAAAACCGAAAAGCTTTTAGAAGCAGGCGTGGGGAAGAGAAGGCAGCATCACCAGTGAGAGTGCTCCGGGCCCGCCTCCCAGGGAGTAATGAAAATAATAACTTATGTTTGACCGTTTACAAGCCGAGTACTGCAGAGCTGTCATCAAGCTGCAGTGTCGTGGTCAGCGGGCCGCCCAGTGGGGTTGTCACCTCCAGATTACAGAGCAGGAGCGGAGGTGCAGGTCACCTGGTCCTGCCCAGAGCCCCACTGGCTGTCTCAAGTGCTTGCCACCCGGGTGTCTCAGACCTTCTGGGTCCAGGACAGCCTTGGCTTCAGTCAGAGCTGGGCTGTCGTGGGCCCCCTTCCTAACCGCCAGAAGATAAAGCTGCCCCCCCGGCGGCTTCTCTCCGGCCGCAGGTTCCTCATGAGAGTGCTGGACTCCTACGGTGATGACTACCGCGCCAGCCAGTTCACCATCGTGCTGGAGGTGAGTGCGATGCGGTCACGGGTGGGCTGGGAGAAGCGGGAGCCCAGGACGCAGCCTTCACGCGCCCACCTCCCTGTCTGCCAGGACGAGGGCAGCCAGGGCACAGACGCCCCCACCCCAGGCAACGCCGAGAACGAGCCTCCAGAGAAAGAGGGGCTGTCCCCGCCTAGAAGGACGCCTGCACCCCCAGAACCTGGCAGCCCGGCCCCTGGCGAGGGGCCCAGCGGGCGGAAGAGGCGGCGAGCACCCCGGGACGGCCGCCGAGTGGGAGCTGCGCTGACTCCAGAACTGGCCCCGGTGCAGGTGGGGGCAGCCTGGAGTCCAGGGGTCCGCAGGGCGGGACTGAGGCTCCTGGGCTTCCCTGCTGCGCTGCGGGGGGGCGGGGCCGGGCCCTGCAGGGCTGGGAGAGCTGGAAGGCTTGGACAGGGCTGGTGTTGGCCGGGGAAGGAGAAAGCATTGTAAGACGCCAGGCAAGGGGCTTGCGTGGAGGCAAGGAAGATGTGGAGGCGGCTCTGGGGAGAAGAAAAGATAACCGGGGAGGGTCGGCGGCAGAGGAGGGAGAGAAGGCAGGGGAGGGCGGTGACACTGCAGGGGATGCCGGGACTTCTGGTGAGGTGCACAGAGGACGCCGTCTGGCCTGGGAAAGAACAGCGAGGCCGGGGCCCTTCTCACGCCTGTTCTCATCTCCCCCAGATTAAGGTCGAGGAAGACTTCGGCTTTGAAGCGGACGAGGCCCTAGACTCCAGCTGGGTTTCTCGGGGGCCGGACAAGCTGCTGCCCTACCCCACCCTAGCCAGCCCCGCCTTTGACTGACCCCACCCCCACCCCAGTAAACCAGCCCCTACACTCGCCTCGGCCGCTGTCCACTGCTTCCACCTGCAGCCGCACACACTCAGACGCTGGGTGTGGTTTTCACATTTTTATTGGGGGCCGTCAGGGAGGGGGCCTCTCCCTGTCAATGGAGGAGCTCACAGTTTCTTCAGCCACTCCAAGCTTGGGCCCTGGGGGTCCTGCGGGTGGCTGGGCACATCAGGCATGTTCCCATCGTCTCGGAGGGGCACTGTGGGACAGGAGGGTGGGCCACTGAGACGAGCAGATCGCTGGGGGCCCACAGAAAAGGGCTGGCCTGTCAGCTTACTTTCAAAGAGGGAAACGGGACCCCGGGGAGAGAGAAGAGAGAGTATGGATCAGAAAATCAGAGATGCAGGGAAGTGGGGAGATAGAGACCTAGAGACATGGGAAACCAGAACGATGGATACAGAAAGGAGACCCAGAGAAAGACCCAACAGACACAAGGAAGCAGAACAGAGACCTGGAGAGGTGGAGACCCAGGAAGACAAAACTCCAGAAAGCAACAGAGATTGCGAACCCGGACAAGGACAGAAATCTGGAACCATGACAGAAACTCAAAGTGCAAAAACAGACAAAGCGAATTTTACGGCATGTGGATTATATCTGTTGAAGGAAAAAAAGAGTCCAGACTGCACTGCAGAATCTTGGATCCCTGCAGAGGAAAGACCTGCCCATCATCATTCCACTCCCAGCTCAGCAAGGTCCAAGGCTGCTGCCCTGGCTCCCACTCACCTGGGTAGTTGTAGGGTGTGGCCTCATTGATCATGATGGAGTACTTGACGTAGGGGCTGAGGGCAGGTAGAATTATAGCTGCGGAGAGACACAGGGGTGAGGCCCAGGGGAAGGAGGTGGCGGCGGGGACCGTAGCTGAGCGTTTTCAAGATGGGGGTCAAGTGCATGCGGGGAGGGGAGGAGGGGGGTCCAGCGCCTCCAGGAGGCCCCTTGGCACCCTGGGAGCCCCGTACATCAGCAGAAGGGTTTATAAGACTTTTTTTTTTTTGGAAGTGAGGGTGGAAGCCAAGCATCCAGAGACTTGTGGGATCTAGAAGACACAGGAAGGAAGAAAGGGTTGGTCACAGGATGAGCGCATTTGAGTCATGGAGCACATTAAGGGGTGTGGGTCGGGGGTGTCCTGGGAACGTTCCAGAGAAATCATGAACTGTTACAAACTGAGGAGAAGGTTTTGTACAAAAAACAGTCATTGTGAAATTACAGTCTACCTGGGGTAGGAGCAGGGAGTCATGGCGGGTGGGGCAGGGCATGTAAAGGAATATTCTGGGTCAGTGCTGTCCGACATAAATATGAGAGACATGTATGTAATTTTTCATTTTCTAATAGCCACATAAAAGTTAAAACATACAGGGATTCCCTGGTGGCGCAGTGGTTAAGAATCCGCCTGCCAATGCAGGGGACGTGGGTTCAAGCCCTGGTCCGGGAAGACCCTACATGCTGCAGAGCAACTAAGCCCGTGTGCCACAACTACTGAGCCTGCGAGCCACAACTACTGAGCCTGCGAGCCACAACTACTGAGCCCTCGTGCCGTAACTACTGAAGCCCGCGCGCCCAGAGCCCGTGCTCTGCAACAAGAGAAGCCACCGCAATGAGAAGCCGGCGCACCACAACAAAGAGTAGACCCCGCTCGCCGCAACTAGAGAAGAGCTGCGTGCAGCAACAAAGACCCAAAGCAGCCAAAAGTAAATAAATAAATTTATAAAAAAAAGTTAAAACATACAAATTAAAAGATAAATTTAACCTGGTATACCCAAGGCATTTCAACATATCCTCGGCATAAAAGACATTGATATTTTATATATGCTTTGTTATACAAAGTCTTTGAAATCTGGTGTATGCTTTACATCAGGGTAACATATACCATCTCAATTCATACTGGCCCCATTTCAAGTGCTCAGTGGCCCATGCGACCCGTGGCTGCCGTGTGGGACAACTGTGTTCTAGAACCTCACTCAGTGTGTGGCCTGCCAACCAGCAGTATTGACAAGACCTGGGAACGTGTTAGAAATGCAGCATCCCCAGACCCACCCCAGACCTACGGAAACAGAACCTGTATCTCACCAAGACCCACAGCATTACCTTGAGATCTGAGTAGCCCAGTTCTACAGCTGAGGTTCTCAATCGCAGAAGCACGTAAGAATCACTGGGGGATTTTCACAAGACACAAGATTCCCTAGCCCCACCTCCACCCCACCCAATTCAATTCAGAATCTGGTGGGGGGGCGATGAGGGTGAAAGGGGAGGATAAGGACATTACTTTTCATTTATTATTATTTTTTTTTAGCTCTTATAATGCACAGCTAGGGTTGACAACCTCTTCTTTGAAGGGATTCTGGACCTCTTGGGTGGGTGTGTACGGGGTGGGGAGCGATGGGGTAGTGGAGGAGTCATAATAGTGGGGGTGGGGGGGGTTGGCATACAAGTGGGGACACGGAACGTTGAGGACGGCGGTCGGGCCTCGGGGATACAGGATGGAACGATGGTGGGGGGGGCGATGGAGCACTGGTGAGGGGCAGTGGGACCTCTAGGGGGTGGAGGAGATAAAGCCGGGACGCCGATTGGGGGTGATGCACTTTCGCGCCTGGGGCACTCACGCACCGAGACCCCCGATGGTGAGGGATGCCACTAGCACCGGCTCCTTGGCCCAGACATTCCTGAGAAAGGCGGCGATTCCTGGAAGGGTGGGCGAGAAGGGTCACCCCTGCAGGTGATGCCCCCGGTGACCTCTACCCCTCTCGCGCCACCCCCGCCCTGGAGGAGCTCCCTCGTGACCTCTGCGCCCCCCTCCGGCCCGGACCCCACCGCCTCCACGGGGGCTCCGTCTTGCCCTACCCCTGGCACCACCCGGGGTTCCCGGTACCATCCCCGCGCGCTGACAGAAGCCACACTTACTCCCGGCCATCTTGGTCTCGGCAACGGCGGCGGCGGCTGCGGCGGCGAGGGCGCGGAGCACTCTGGGACTTGTGGTCCCTGGGCACGGCCTCCGCAGTCGGAGTCCGCGCGTGCTCATTGGCGCAGAACAGCAATCCCAGACGGCGGCGGGGGTGCGGAGCACTCTGGGAGTTGTGGTCCTGGCCCGCTAGCCTCCACGGGCTAAATCCGCGCGTGCGCACTGGCGCAGAACAGCGGTCCTAGACGATGGCTGCGGGGAAAAGAGGTGATGCTGCAGATATAAGCGCAAACCTGTCTTGGCGCACCTGCCGCCGCTCTCTTTCTTTCTCTCCGCCTAGAAAGTCGTTCCAGAGGAGTAACTTTCAGTCCTCCTACTGCGGCCCAGCTAAGGCGGAATGCATCAGTCCTCATTTTATAGTTTACTTATGAGAGCCCATTTTACAGATGGGCAAACGGAGGCTGGGAGAGGACGAATCACCAATTTGAGGTATCAGCTTAAAATCAGTTCGTCCTGCAAGCCCTAAGTCTCATCCCAGAAGGGTTAGGGACCTTCTGTATACTCTCACAGTGCCCTATGTGACCTCCATTATAGCGTACATCATTTTGTTCTGTTTTGTTTTGTTTTAACTAACCTGGTCGGAATCTGCCTTTCCATCAGGCTGGGAGCTACTTGAGCACAGTAATGGGGTCTGACTCCCTTCTGTGCCCCTTTCCCCCAACCGTGTAGCACAGGGTCTGGCACATAATAGGTGCTAATTTTTTTTTCCCAAAGTTTAATGAACAGAACAGTTATGACTGCGCCCTCTCCCAACTTTTTCCACAGCACCATGGGGCTGTGACACAGTCACCCAGGGGCCCCCACCTCGCTCCTTCCTTCCTTCAATAGGGCTCTGGCTTCCTGATGTTGCCTCATTTCCTGGTAGGGGGGAGGGCACAGCCAAGCCCTGGCTCCTGTTCCTGCTCCAGCCGAGAACTGCCCACCATGGCCCTGGTGATGAATCTGCAGCTGCTGACTCTCTGTGAGACACCCCACCCGCTTCTCCCTGGGCCCCTGGCTGGGCTGGGGTCTCCCTGAGGGCAGGTGCAGGGTGATCAGGAGGCACGAGCTGAGGGTTTGGAATTCTAGGCCAGAATAACAGGACTGGGGCTCAGACCCCTGGGTCCTAAGGCAAGAGGACCCAGGGGTCCTGAATTCCTGGGTTCCTGGAAGAGGAGGAAGTTGGGGGCAGGATTCTCTAGATCTTGAAGCAGGAGAGGGCTAGGGATCTGAATTCCTGGAGACAGAGAACCTATGGTCCTAGATCTTGATGTGGGAGGGAGATGGAGAAGCCAAGACACCTGGGAAAGAAGGAAACTGGGGGCCCAGACTCCTGCAGCCCAGAGAGGAGAAACTGTGGGCTCAGGTTATTATCTCCTCGAAACGGTGGAATCCAAGGGCCTGAACTCTTGGGTGTAGAGGCAAGATGGGCTTGGGTCCAGACTTTTGGGCTCTGAAATAAGTGGGGACTGGAAGTCTGAATTTATGGCTACTGAAGAGAAAGTATGGGCAAGATTTCTGTTTCCCAGAGGATAGAGGGCCTGGGGACTTAGATTCCTGGGTGCCCAATGAGGTGGGGCCGGGAGCAACCGAAGGCTTTGACAAGACCAAACCCCTTCGACCTTCTATAGGGCTGGTGTGTCACGCAGACATCACTCCAACTGGTGAGTAACACTCCGCACCCATTCTCCTGTGTGTTGCTGACACCCCATTTCCAACGACTCGGATTTTATTTTGGTGCCTCCCCTTCCCCCAGATTTCCTTACTTCCCTCCTCCTTCCTTTATTTCTTTCCCTCCTTCCTTCCTCATTCATCTTAGTGACCAGTATAGGTAAGTAGTGAAGATCATGAACTTTGGAGTTAAAGAGGCCTAAGCTGGAACCCCAGTTTCACCATCGTATTCATTTATGACCTTGAACAAACCACTGAACGCTGAGACTCAGGTTATTTCTCTGTAAAATGGGCTGTTGTGAGGATTTAATAAAATCACATGCATAAAACCCTTGGCTCAGAGCTTGGCGAAGTGCAGGGCTCGAGAAATAGGATCTCTGGCAATGCCCATTATTCCCCTTTGGAAAGTAGGGTCCTCCACCCTGAGACAGCGCTGGGTTTCTTTCCAGGGTTTCTGATGAGTGAGACCTCTTCTTCCTCTCAATTTCCCTCCATTACACTTCAACTTCAAATAAGAATCACCTGGAGAACAATTACTACCTTTATCAATTTATTTTAATTATTTTTTAAATGTTAAAGCTAACATATATCCATGGTTTTAAAAATTATTATCAGGGGACATATAACAACCTCCTTCTTCCCCTTCCTCATCTTCCTTAAATTATCTCTGAATCCTTATAAAAAATTTCCATGCTTTCAAACACACGTGTGTATTTTTGTACTTCTTTTTCTCCCAAAGCAAAATTGATACTTCGTGACTCACATGGTTCTGCATCTTACATTTTTCACTTTGCAATCTCTCTTGGAGACATTTCCATGTCATTAGAGCTAGCTCCACCTTTTTCTCTCTTTTTTAAAGCTGCTGTCTAGCATTTGCCCTTGTACGGCTGGATTCTAGTTTACTTGGTCCTCCTGATGCATATTTAGGTTGTTTCCAACTTTTCCCCTCACAATCACTTTTAGATGAGGAAGAGAAAGGGGAATGTCACCACCTCGAGCACTTGCAAAGTGATTTACGGTTTTTGACACAGCGTTTCCTTTGTTCGTCACCCATACATTCTCGGTTTCCAAGATGTCTGTATGGAGATGTGATGCATCTGGTACAGCCTCTCTTTTCTGTTTTCTCTTGTCTGCTTCACTCTACTCAGCCTTCAGGTCTCAGATTAGATGCTGTTTCCTCTGCAGACTCTTGCCTGACCCATCTGTGCTCCCACAGTGCCTTGTCATACCGTGATGATTTATCACGCTCTGTATTAACTCCCTCTCCCAGACTAGACCACACGCTCCTGCCAAGAGGGACCAGGTCATTTTATCTCCACATCTCCAGGGCCTGGCACATAGGCGGGCTCAGGAAACACACACATTCTGACTGGATGACTCTCCATGCTGAGGGCTACATAAGCAGGCTCCGTATGTGTACCCTTTTATGGTGGGCAGAATAATGGTCCCTCGAACATCTGGTATCCCAGTTCCCGGAACCTGTGACTATGGTATACATGGCAAAAGGGACTTAACAGGTGTGATTTAATTAGGAATCATGATATGGGGAGATTATCCTGGATAATTTGGGTGGATGCCACATAATAATTTTAAGAGGGAGGCAAGGGGGTCAGAGTTTGAGAAGGCAATGTGAAGATGGAAGCAGAGGTCAGCGTGATGCAGGCCCTCAAGCCAAGGGATGCAGACCCCTCTAGAAGCTGGAAAAGACAGGGAATTGGATTCTCTGCTAGAGACTCCAGAAGCAACACAGCCTGCCGACCTGTTTTGGACTTCTGACCTCCCGAACGGAAAAATAAAACATTTATGTTGCCTTACGCCACTTAGTTTGTGATAGTTTGTTACCACAGCAATAGAAACATGAACGCTATTAGATACTTTTGTCTACTCTTGTCCCCGCGCTGGCTTCCCCCAAGGTCTCATTCATCTGCTTATTGCACATTTATCAAATGGCCACCACGAGCAAGGTACTGTGCTAGGTGCTGGAATTACATGGGGAGTAACAGCAGACATGAACTCTACTCTCTTGAAGCTCACAGAGAAATTTATACTCACCGTCTTGATTAGGGGGCACTTTAAGCTGCCGTGACAAACCCCCAAGAAAAAGCTATCTATAATTTTATTTCTCTCTCACTTAACAGTACGTAATCAAACAGTCTAGAGCTGTTTATCAACATTTTTGCTTTTATCAACATGTAGCTTTCATATGTAGTTCAGAGCCAGCAAGAAAGGAAAAGGGAGGGAGGGAAGGAGAGAGAGACAGAGAGACAGAGAGACAGACAGAGAGAGAGAGAGAGAGAGAGAGAGGGCTCATACAATTATTTTTAAGAGCAGCACCCAGATTTTGAACATGTCTCTGACCAGAACTTACAGGCCAGGTCTAGCTGCAAAAGTGTCTGGGGAGGTGGGGGCATACAGGCTCTAGAGAGCGCCCTTCTAAAAATGGGAGGGGTTTTCTGTTACTTAAAGGAAGAAGGGAAATTTGGCTGCTGGGAAACCGTTAGCCGTCTTCACCATTACAACTATAGCAAAAAGAAGAGGGAGTTTCACAAGGAAGATTTGATCTCATCATTGAGCTCTCTGAAGAAGTGATGTGAGATCTGAAAGACGAGCAGATGTTAACTAGGGGTCTGGAAGGGTGTTCTAAACAGAGGGAACAGCATGTGCAAAGGTCCTGTGGAGGAAGCAAGGTGTGGTAAGGGACTGAAAGTCCTGTCCTACTGCCACCTTGTGGTCGCATCTTTTTCCTTGATCAGCACTGAAATCCCTGAACTCACTACAGGCACATAATAGGGCTGCACCTGAAAGATGGTCAATGTGGCTGAAACAGATAGCATAAGGTGAGAGAAAATGCAGTAGAGGTAAAGCTGGAGTGTCAAGCTGACGTATGCTCAACTTTGTAAGTTATAATAATAAGTTTGTTATTCAAAGGGAGATCTGACAAACATGGCCCTGGCTGTCATGGAGATCAGAATCTAGGAAGGATTTTCTAGAAAAGTTCTTAGATGAACTTCTCTTTCTAAGCCTGCATCTTCCTTATCATGCGTTAAATATTTATTTATTTTCCTTCTCTCCAAGGGAAATATGGGAATAAAACATTGTGGACACTTCCCAAATAAGTCCCATTAAAATCAGCATGCCCCTCCCTTACGTTCACAGCAGCACTATTTACAGTAGCCAAGACATGGAAGCAACCTAAATGTCCATCAACAGATGAATGGGTAAAGAAGATGTGGTATATATATACAATGGAATATTACTCAGCCATTAAAAAGAAGGAAATAATGCCATTTTCAGCAACATGAATGGACCTAGAGATTATCATGCTAAGTGAAGTAAGTTAGAAAGAGAAAGACAAATACCTTATGATATCACTTATATGGAATCTAAAATATGATACAAATGAACTTATTTACAAAACAGAAACAGATTCACAGACATAGAGAACAGACTTGTGGTTGCCAAGGGGAAGGGGGTGGGGGAGGGATGGACCGAGAGTTTGGGATTAGGAGATGCAAACTATTATATATAGGATAGATAAACAACAGGGTTCTACTGTGTAGCACAGGGAACTACATTCCATACCCTATGATAAAGCATAATGGAAAAGAATACGACAAAGAATGTATCTATATGTATAACTGAGTCACTTTGCTGTATGGCAGAAATTAACAAGACATGATAAATCAACTATACTTCAATTTAAAAAAATCAGCATGCCCCTTTCTTAGAAAGACAACATGGTAGTCACTTCTGTTGTTTGCCAGTGTTGGGGAGGGGGAAATTTCCCCCTCTACCCCTTGAGTTCTTGTGGCTGGACTAGTAATAACATTGACACAAGACAGACTAACAGTAAGACAGGTAACCAACCAGGACCTACCGCACAGCACAGGGAACTCTACTCAATATTCTGTAATAACATATATGGGAAAAGAATCGGAAAAAGAATGGATATATGTATACGTATAACTGAATCACTTTGCTGTATACCTGAAACTAACACAACATTGTAAATCAACTATACTTAAAAACAAAAAACAAAAAACAACCCAAGGACTTCCCTGGTGGTCCAGTGGTTAAGACCCCTCGATCCCAATGCAGGGAGCCCGGGTTCGATCCCTGGTCAGGGAACTAGATCCCACATGCATGCCACAACGAAGATCCCGCGTGCTGCGACTAAGACCCGGTGTAGCCAAATAAATAAATTTTAAAAATTAAAATAAAATGATGCTCAGAGCGTGAACAAAAGCAGGCAGCTTTTATATTTTTTTACACAATAAATTTGTGAGGATTTGACAGGACAAAAAACTTAGATGTGGATGCTTAATTAGTAAGGAATTTAATGCAAAGTTTGGGCTTGGGTAGTAACTTTAATTCAAAACCATCAATATGCCATTGAAGCACATTTTGGGGTGGCCTGCCTTTTGACCGAACACCAAGGATCTCCAAATGATCCCCATTTGGGACACTAGTATATAAATGAGCCAAAGAAGGCCTCTGTATATGCGTGTACTTCTTCACAGCAGGCTGAGATCCGTTAGCTCAAAAGCCCATTGGCGCCAAACTCAAAGTTTTACACATGCAATTGTTTAAAATATAGACCCAAGAAGCAGATTTTTAACTAGTTAGAGCCTGCCTGCTTTGCATACCCCAAGAAATTGCAGCCAGCGTCTGCTAGCCATAGGTAAACCCTGCACCACCACAAGACCCCAAACTGCTGCTGTGGGCTGGAGCTCTCTGACCCGAGGCTCCCTGCCTCTGCAGGGGAACAACAGCGCCTAGACCCAGAAGCCTCCTCTTCAATAGCCCTCTTGTTCCCTAGCCCACCTCCCCTTCTGGGTAGCAGTCCCCAGCCCTTTGCCTTTGGCAGGTTTCAAGCAGCGAGGACCCTTCTCACGTGCAAACCTGTCCAAACAGCCTCCAAAGAAAATTCCTTGTGTGCTACTGCCACCTTGTGGTCATATATTTTTCCTTGCTCGGCGCCAAAATCCCTGACCTCATTAGGGGGCCAATACGACGGCATTCGCGGGCTTTGTTGTCTGTCCTGGACGATGAGTCGTGGATGGCAGTGGCGAGCGTCACTCTGTTCCCAGCTCTCTGTTCCACCTGACACAGTGACCAGCAATGCTTGAGAAGAGATTCTGGCCTCTCCATCAGTCTGGGTACCTGAGCGAGAGAAGGAACAGCGACCCCTGCCGGCTGTCTCCACTATGGGCTACCTGCCCCGCCTGGCTCCAGGCACCTCTAAGAGCCAATCAACGTTACCGTCTTTTTTTTTTTTTGCCTTGCTGCGTGGCTAGGGATTGAACCCGGACCATGGCAGTGAAATCCCCGAGTCCTAAGCACTGGACCGCTAGGGAATTCCCAATGTTACCGTCTTTCTGTGCACCTGTTTCAGTCAATTAGGACTTTTATAACAAAATACCCTAGACTGGGTGGCTTGAACAACAGAAACTTACTACTCACAGTCTGGAGGCTGTGAAGTCTGAGACCAGAGTGCAAAGAATGGTTTTGGTGACAGCCCTCCCCTGGCTTGCAGAGAGCTGCAGAGAGGGGGAGAGGAAGAGAGAGAAAGAGAGAGAGAGAGAGAGGGAGGGAGAGAGAGATCTCACCTCTCTCATTACAAGGGCACTAATCCCATCATGGGGGCTCCACCCTCATGACCTCATCCTAATTACCTCCTAAAGGCCCCATAATACCAGCACATCTAGAGCTAGGGCTTCAACATAAGAATTCGGGGGAGACACAGACAGCCTCGTGACAGCTTGCGTCTGGAGATCTTGTATCCATTGCTTATATCTAAAGAAGTATGGAAAGTTCATGCCATGGTAAGGGGGTGGTTCTTCTATGGCATCCTGGAAACTTTTCACATATTCATTTAGTCAGAGGCTTGAACTGTAGCCAATCTGAGTCTTGGCAGAAAGCTTAAAAAAAAAAAAAAAAGCTTATGATCCTCCTGGAACATGAGAAAATGAGAGGCTTGTGAGCAGCTGCTATCTCCCATCTCCCACTCACTTCTTTTTTTTTTTTTTTTTGGCTGCACCGTGTGGCTCAGCTCCCCAACCAGGGATTGAACACAGGCCACAGCAGTGAAAGCCCAGAATCCTAATCACTAGGCCACCGGGAACTCCCTCCTACTCACCTTTTTATCTTCCCTGGAGGCTTTCATGAGACAGTTTCTCATCGCTTCCTGGGTTCTGATGAGATGTCTTTCTGCCCAGTGCCCCTCAGATTGGAGCTGCAGAATATAAAAATGCTTAGCTGTAGTCTAGAGTTGACTCTTATACTAGACTAAAAAGGTATTTGGCCTTTGCTCCTGGCTGCTGGCACAGAGCTCCTACAACCCTCATAATTTCCTGAGTGAGGGTGGTGGGAGTGCCTTGTGTTCTAATGAGGCCACTCTCGGCGGGTCTCTAGGGGCTGGTCATCAGAAAGACCAAGTCTTGATTAGAAGCGTGGAACTTTCATCACCACCCCCAACTTCCAGAGAGGGGAGAGGGGCTGGAGATTGAGTTAATCACCAATGGCCAATAGTTTAATCAGTCATGTCTATGTAGTGGAACCTTCATAAAAACCCCTAAACAAAGGATGAAGATCTTTCTGAGTCATAAAACTGATTTAAGGAATCTGGTTAGATAAAGTGCCGAGTTGAAAGCATTCCCAAGAACATCAATCTCGTTTTCTGCTGGAATGTGGAGAATTACACGAGTATTCATAACTCTTACCGAATTGTTCTCTTCTCTGTTGAAATAAGTTCACACACAAGAAGTGGTATTTGAACAAAAGGGTCTCATAAGAATCTCAAGATTTAAAAAAATCACTGCCACATCTTTTGAAAATAACTTTCCAAGAAACACCTGTAATTATAATTGGTTTTCCTCCTTGATAATTTGTTGCCGTGTTGATTTTTCTATGTTCCTAAATGGTAAGACAAGACCTATCAAGACAACAGAGCCTCAGGACTATTTTTGCTCTTCTTCCAAAAGAAGGATGGAAAAAACAATAAAAACCTGTGATTTGCTTGGTTTCTCATTTTAACGAAAGATTGAGAATTTCTTTTTATTTAAATTAGCATATCTATCAAATGCAGTTTGTAGACTTGTAGTCTAAAGATTTGGATCCTGATTTTTAAAAAAAAAAAACTGGAGATTTCTGAGATCATTGGGGAAATTTGAATACTATCTGAATATCAGATAGTATCAAGGAAGTACTGTTGGTTTTCCTAGTGTGATACTGCTGTGCTGGTTATATATTTTTTTAAAAAGATTCTCATCTAATAAAGACATCTGTGTACTAAAATATTTTGGGATTAAAAAGATGAATTTAAAAACTAAAAGCTCTTCCACTGGAGGAAAAAAAAAGGATAAGTTCACAAGAAAAATCACTCAATAAAATTTACCTATTACTTTAATAACTACTATTATAATTATAGCATATCAGGCATAAGCACAATTCTGGTCCACGTCCCTCCACTCTCGAAGGCAACCATAGCTTGGTCCATTTCTGAACATAAAGGTGCAAAACTGGATCTGGGATCATTTTCCCAGACACTTTTGGGGTTTTAGTTTGAGGTCCCCAAATCATTCCCTGTCTTTTCTCCATTATCAGGAGATCTATGGTTGTCAACTTATGGTAAAGAAGGAAGCAATAAAACACTAGTCAGGGGCTTCCCTGGTGGTGCAGTGGTTGAGAATCCGTCTGCCAATGCAGGGGACACGGGTTCGAGCCCTGGTCTAGGAAGATCCCACATGCCACAGAGCAACTAAGCCTGTGCGCCACAACTACTGAAGCCTGCGTGCCCTAGAGCCCATGCTCCACAACAAAAGAAGCCAACGCAATGAGAAGCCCACGCACTGCAACGCAGGGGCTACTCTTTGGTGCAGTGCATGGGCTTCTCACGGCAGTGCCTTCTCTTGTTGCGGAGCACGGGCTCTAGGCACATGGGCTTCAGTAGTTGTGGCACATAGGCTCAGTAGTTGTGGTGCACAGGCTTATCTGCTCCGCGGCATGTGGAATATTCCCAGACCAGGGATCGAACCTGTGTCCCCTGCATTGGGAGCACAGACTCTTAACCACTGCGCCACCAGGGAAGTCCCACAGGTGGGCTTCTTAGTTGCGGCTCCAGGGCTCCTTAACATGGCTCGCTGGCTCCTTAGTTGAGGCACTTGGGCTCCTTAGTTGTGGCATGTGAACTCTTAGTTGCGGCACGCATGTGGGATCTAATTCCCTGGCCAGGGATCAAACCCGGGCCCTCAGCATTGGGAGCATGGAGCCTTATCCACTGGACTGCCAGGGAAGTCCCAACATAACACTATTATATATAAAATAAACAACAAGGTCATACCGTATAGCACAGGGAACTATATTCAGTATCTTGTAATAACTTATAATGGAAAAGAATAATTAATAAGAACCTGTTGTATAACACAGGGAACTCTACTCAATACTCTGTAATGACCTATATGGGAAAAGAATCTAAAAAAGAGTGGATACATGTATATGTATAACTGATTCACTTTGCCGTACACCTGAAACTAACACAACATTGTAAATCAACTATACTCCAATACAAATTTTTTTAAAACTATAATGGAAAAGAATATGAAAAAATGTGTGTGTGTGTATATATATATATATGTATGTATGTATGTATAACTGAATTACTTTGCTGTATACCTGAAAGTAACACAACATTGTAAATCAACTATACTTCAATTAAAAAAAATTTTTTTTAAAAGGTATGGATTGGACACTAGCACCCAGCTGTGCTCTTCTTCTATGTGATCAAGACAGAGAACTGAGAAGAGAATGACTTTCTCACACAGATTCAAGGTTTTGAATCTCATGTCACTGTACGAACCTAAAGTCATTTTCCATCTCTTAGAAAAATCCTGCAGAAGCAGTACTTGTCCTTGTTCTGCATCTGAGGAGCCTGAGATGGACAGCTGACGTGACGTGCCAAGCGCACTCAGCTACTCAGTGGAGAAGCGGAATTCAAATTCTGGTCTGTGCAGTTCCCAAGACCCTGATTTTCCACTGAGCCATACTAGGAAATTTAAAAGGTCTTAGTTTGGGGTAGAGAACTGTGGAGTGTGAATGAAAGGTGTAGGGGTTGGGAAAAGCTCAAGAAGATAAGTGAACAGTGAATCCAGTGATCTTCGTAGGTGTTGGCAATCTTTTTATGTAAAGGGCCAGAAAGTCAGAGAGGCTCAGTGGGCCACAGGGTCTCTGTTGCAACTTCTCAACGCCTGTTAGAATTGGGAGGGGGGGTGAGGTGGGGGGGCATGAAAAAGACAAGAGAGGGGAATTCCCTGGTGGTCCAGTGGTTAGGGCTCCGAGCTTCCACTGCAGGGGGCATGGGTCATGGGTTCCATCCCTGGTTGGGGAACTAAGATCCCTCAAGCCAAGCAGTGTGGCAAAAAAAAAAAAAAAAAAAAGTAAAAGAAAACAAAGATAAGAGATATAGTGTTGGTGGAGGTGCAGAAAAGGGAACCCTCATGCACCGCTGGTGGGCATGTAAACTGGGGCAACTGTTATCAGAAACAGTATGGAGGTTCCTCAAAAAATGAAAACTAGAACCACCATAGGATCCAGCAACCCTGCTTCTGGGCTTGTATGTGTCAATCCTACTTCTGGCTTCAATAGTGTATATGTGTCAATCCCAGTCTCCCAGTTCCTCCCACCCCACCCCTTTCCCCCTTGGTATCCATACATTTGTTCTCTATGTCTGTGTCTCTATGTCTGCTTTGCAAATAAAGTCATCTATACCATTTTTCTAGATTCCATATACATGTGTTAATATATGATATTTGTTTTTCTCTTTCTCTGTATGACACTCTCTAGGTCCATCCACGTCTCTACAAATAACCCAGTTTTGTTCCTTTTATGGCTGAGTAATATTCCATTGTATGTATGTACCACACCTTCTTTATCCATTCAGCTGTTGATGGACACTTAGGTTGCTTCCATGTCCTGGCTATTGTAAATAGTGCTGCAGTGAACACTGGGGTGATGCGTCTTTTGGAATTCTGGTTTTCTCTGGGTGTGTGCCCAGGAGTGGCTCTAGATATCTTATGATTTCAAGAGCATCAGGAATAATAGGTGTCATCAAACCCTAAGTGCTTCCTCCCCAACCAAGTGGTTTTTGTCATCACTGATGTCTCTAGAAGCCAGGCACCAGGGGAGGGGAGGGGTACTATACTTTCTACAGTGTTGACACACTCAGGACACACCATGACAAAGAAGATCAGGAGTGAAGTCTAGTGTCTCTTGTCCTCTCCCCGACCATGAAATCTAGAGATGACATCACAGGATAGTATAGAAGAATAAGATGGATAAAGATGGGTGGTGGGGAGAAATGGGTGGGTTCTGGGGCAAAATGGCAGGACCATTCAACACCCAGGGGCATTGTGCTGTGTGTACTACCAGACAAGAGTCCCCTTCTTGGCCTCACAACCCAGTGATCACCTTGAGATTTGGGTGGCGGGTAAGGTTTTGCGTGATTTGAGGACTTTTTTTTTTTTAATTTATGTGATTGACTAGTCATCCCCTGACTCTCATTTCTACATCACTTGCACTATCTCCTCTTTTTAACATCTTTGCTTTCTTAACTTTTTACTCCTTTGCTTTTTTTTGATATAAATTTATTTATTTTATTTATTTTTGGCTGCATTGGGTCTTTGTTGCTGTGCGCAGGCTTTCTCTAGTTGCAGTGAGCAGGGGCTACTCTTCGTTGCCGTGCACAGGCTTCTCACTGCGGTGGCTTCTCTTGTTGTGGAGCACGGGCTGTAGGCGCACGGGCTCAGTAGTTGTGGCTCGCGGGCTCTAGAGCGCAGGCTCAGTAGTTGTGGCGCACGGGCTTAGTTACTCCACGGTATGTGGGATCTTCCTGGAGCAGGGCTCGAACCCATGTCCCCTGCATTGGCAGGCAGATTCTTAACCACTGAGCCACCAGGGAAGTCCTCCCATGTCTATTTTAGATTGCATTTTTTCTCTTCAATTATATCCCCCTTTTAACATGTATTAGAAATCATTATAGATTCACAGGAAGCTGGAAAAAATAGTTCAGATACTTAATGATCCATTATTCACCCGTAACAATAAAAAATCCAAGAAGTTGACGTTAGGCAGATGACATGATACTCTATATAGAAAACCCTAAAGACTCCACACAAAAACTATTAGAACCAATAAATGAATTCACCAAAGAGGTGAAAGAATCAATGAATTAGCCAAAGA